GTTTAAACATTTCACTGTATACAAAACAGATCACTTACCAATAAGTAATTTAAAGTTGTATAGTGTAGGTAAGCCTCCTTGTGTGTAGTATGACAGTGTGTGTATGTGTGTAGTAGGTTGAGTATAAAATTTAACGAGGTACATTAAGTAATTGTTCGGTTTCATTATAGTCCAGTTTATGAATATATTCAAATAGTTTCCTTTTGCACTCTCTAATATTTAAGCTTCGTATGTCCACAATTTTGCTGATTTTAGAATATAGATATGGACCCAAAAAGGAAAAATATATATATGCGAATTAATGTTTAAATGTTGGTCTATTGGGGAAAGTTATATCTCTGCGGCGTTTGGAAATGGCAATTGTATCAGAGCTTGAGTGTTATTTTATAATAGTGAGCAGGATGAACAGTTGGCGAACTGAGAGAACTTCACAAGATTGATACAGGATGTATGTAGGAAACAAATACGGGCGAAAAGTGCTTACTTTAAGAATAGCTCTTTGAGCTGTTTCAAGTGGTTTAATAGTCGTTTTTGGTGCACCTCCCCATACAGTAAGGCCATAACCCACTATAGATTGTCCAAGAGCTAGGTAGATTTGTTTAACTAATTTAGGATTAGCCACATTCCTTAAATTTTAAAGACGTATATCAGATTTCTCAACCTCGCAGTAGTTAAATTAACATGAGGTTGGAATTAAAGATTTTTATCTATAAGAATACCAAATATTTAACCACATTGGTAGCAGTCAGTGAAGGGCAATGGCATACATCAACATTGCAGCAATCACGCCGTCACGCGCTATCAAAGAAAGCGAAGGAGTTGATGAGGTGGTTTTTCGCATAGAGAAAGGTATGAATACGGTTTTTTCGGCGTTTAAAGTTAACACTGTAAATCTAACATATTTTAGGAAAGCACTGAATTTAAAACTAGTTACACGATAAATTATTTCATAAATTCACAAGTTTGCGCGTTTACCGCTAAAAAGAACACCTTTGTCGTACTTTCTCAATTTGAGAGCACTTCTTTTGTTGCCTCAGCCAAAAGCGGAATCTTCGGCGTCGACATATTGAATGACCTGCAGTAGCATATTCACTTGAAAGAGAAAGCAAAATTGGCTTTTAAAAAACTTAGCGTACTGAGTAATAGTACTTAGAGGTTGTTTAACCAAAATGATGGTGTAACCGTCTACATTAAATCCAACCTCAATGATATTGTGGAAGAACCCGGTTGTCAGGTTTCATAAATTCACAATTTATGAAATAATTTATCGTGTAACTAGTTTTAAATTCAGTGCTTTCCTAAAATATGTTAGATTTACAGTGTATTTTTGTAAAAGAAACGAATTTGAAGAATATGGTGGCGCTCTCTTATTAGATTTGACGTTTCGCGATGTGCCTTCGACGCCGACCGACCAATAATATGCTATTATTATAGCGTCTAATGGATCTAGTGACGTCATCCAAAATGCCACCATGTGACTGCTGTTTGAATAAATTTTTGGTTATTGGAAATTAAATATATTATTTCCTAACGTTTCATTTCATTCATGACTTAAAAAGTTTAAATATGATTTTTTTTGGTGAGATAGGAGTCATAATAAATAGATTTGTACAATAAAAAAAACATGCATATTCCCTATTATTATATCATAAAAAATTACAAACTAAGTAATCTTCAACAACATTATCGATACTTTGATGTCGAATCGGTAACATTGCTAAAACTGGTTTTTACCCTATATTTATTAGCGTCACCTAACGGGGAATAGCTGAAATTTTTCTTAATAAATATTCAGCGTAGTTTTGCTATGTTTAGCTAGAGAGCGTCACTCACGTGCGAGCTCAACATTTTTGTATGCAAATGTTCATAATATCCGCCCTATAGTATACTTATATATTTAAATCTCTTTGGATCGTTATTTCATTTTATGAGTGTATTAATTAAAATTTAAAAAATAATAAAATATAGTGACATCTATCAAAAGTATGAAAATTGATACAGTTTTTGAACTAAAAAACATATCAATTTTCATACGTTTGATACCATATATGTATGTAAAATTATTAAAACTGCTCTGCATGCAATTGTTGCAAAATTCTCATTAAATCATTATTTTAGATAAAGATCTTTTAAAGATATTAATAACTAAACACAACATTGCTATTTCATGATAATATGGTCATATCGTCAAATAGTTATTCTCCGGTATCGGCGCTGATAGCGTGTTTTTTAACAGAAACAGATTTTTAACAGAATCAACATCGCTATGCCTTTTTTATATGATAAATAAATATCGCGGCTTTGGGGTGGCTTTTGAGTCATTCGCACCTCATCCTTCTATAGCTGATATTACTAGATAGTATAGTTTTGACTTTCATAGTGTTAATGTAATATAGCGCCCTCTAGTTTATGCTAAATAAATTACATACATACATAAACACTCACGCCTGTCACCCAGAGGGGTAGGCAGAGACTACGGACTTCGATCGCAATTCTGACACACCTCTCTCGCCTCCTTTACATCCATATATCTACGCATACACGCTCGTCGGTTAAGGGTACTCCTAATGTGGCCCATTTTTAATGTATCGCCGATTTGGTCGATAAACCTTCGTCTAGGGCGTCCCTTCCCGACCCTGCCGTTCACTTCTTCAACATAAATTTGTTTTGTCACACTTTCCTCGTTCATTCTTTCTACATGACCAAACCACCGAAGCATTCCTTTCTTAATCCTTGTCACAACGTCCTATTGCAAACCACACTTTTCTCTTATCACACTATTTCTCACCCTGTCATTCAGATTCAGCCCTAGCATACTCCTTAAGGAGAAATTAATGATAAGTAACAAAATTAAATTTTAGTATGCTACTGAATACTTATTCGTGCAGCATCAAAAATAGTCACACTCAAAAATATCTAGACCGGTGGCTATTATCGAAATGATTTACCACAATTACCACGTTTGGCAAAATGGCTAACAACACTGTTAGTTATACATAACACGTGTGTTTTGTGTGTACAGTATCCAGTACTGTGTACAAACTGAGATTAACTACGTATAGTATCTATGTTAAGAGAAAATCTCTTTAGTTGAATATATTGGGTGTCTGTCGGCATAGGTTTCATTTTACTAACTTCATATGTTATCACGTTATCTGATTTAAATAATTGAAAATTATGTGCACTATGAGATTTTATCTCTATTTGATGGAATTGTTCGTGGCACTGTTGGGTTTCTAATTACTCTTTCTAGCTTCTAATTATATGGTCAACAATCGGTTTGTTTCAGTTTTATGAATTTTATTTAAACAAATACGGGAGTCGTGTAGCTCGCCGAGAGATTTCATCACGGCAAGGGAGCAAAACGTGTACGAGTACTTTGAGGACAAATTAATCCGCTATGGGAAATTTTACGTGCTGACTTACTAGTTTACGTGGTAGAGCCATGCTGCAGCTATATTAGTAGTATAGTTGTAGCACGAATGGGTCGGCACGACGGGGGAAGGACCACGCTCTCACAGAATACCAGCGTAAAATAGCAGCTTAACGCTGCTGTGTTTCGCATGGTGAGTGTAGAGAACCGGAGACCCTTTTTACTGGACAAGAGGCATTCCATCTTAGTCCTCACGGGTGACAACGCATCTGCATTTTGAGTCTATTGAGGATAGACGTAGATGTCTATGGGTCACAGTAACCACTTATCATCAAGTGGACTGTGTGCTCGTTTGTCACTCGATCCTATAAAAAAATGAAAACCGTTAATACGCATTAAAGACTTGCGGCGTACTCTTTTCTGTCCACAAAACACTATAGATAATGAAGAGCCCTGTGCACATTAGTGAGACGTATGTAAGCTGCTAGTTTCGATTTTGTATTTTAGAGTTTTCATATTATCAAACAAATCAAGATATTTGTGACAGTCCTGGTTTCATAGCTCAAATGAGATATGTAAATGAACAGGCTGTTACGATAATTTAAAATTTAAAATTCTGTACAGCCGACTTCAATATGAGTTATTAAGAATAACTCAAAAACTATTGGTCCAACCTTGATCAAATTCATATGGGACCACACGAGAAGAAAAATCATCCAAATTGGTTCACCCAGTAAAATGTAATGAGGTAACACTCATAAAAAAACATACGCGTCGAATTGAGTACCGTCTCCTTTTTGGAAGTCGGCAGAAAAAAATACTTTAAAGATAGCAGATTTTACTTAAACAAAGGTTTATTTTATTTTTCTTGTCAAAGGCGGTAATCAAACTGATTCAAACCTAAATTTCATAGCTCATATGCATTATTATATATTTTTACATATATGTTATTTGCAATTAAATGCGTAGTAAATCGCAAAACATTGAATTGTTTTGCGATTTACCACGTTCTCGGCGGTGAAAACCTGCATATCTGAGAAGTGCCCCAGTTGAGGTGATCGCGCGTTGGCACTTTTTTTGGCCAAAAGCTCTGTGGCCTGTGCCCAGTAGTGACTAGTATGTAGGCTGCTACTTTTTTTAGTTTTAATGGCGCAATTATACTGTTTTAATTTCTTTCACATTTTCGAAGATGTTACTTTTTGTTTTCACACTACCGTAAATATTAACGGTAGCAAAGATTCGAAAGATTAGAACTCATCATCGTTATCATTACAACCTGTCAAAAGTCCATTGAACTGAACATAGGCCTCCCCCATAAATTGTCAAATAGGCTGGATACTTGCCACAGTTGCCACGCTTGGCAGGCGGGTTGCCAACCGCAGCCTGTAATTATTTTGGCGATACAGGAAAACAAACAGAAGACGATGTTGTTCATCTTCTGTTTGATTTCAATAAAATTCTTTGACAAACTGACATAGAGACACAGACACCGATGTGACTCTAAAAGTGATCGAATTTTGCTAAATTAAGCATGGAAAATCATTTCATGATGTTTCTAAATTATTGATTACGCGAGCGATGCCGCGGGTAAAAAGCTAGTTTTTAATAAATGTTTAATTTTACTTAGCTCCAGCGGAATCCAGTCCCCGGCTTACACATTAGTGGGCGAATCATGTGGTAAGCGATACAAGAACCGATATATGGTGATCCTCACCAGTGCGCTTATGTCCAGTTTCTGTATTTACATGGGTATGTTTTATTTTTATATAAACATTTTCACAACCACCTTCAGGTTTAAACTTACAGTCCACTATCAGAACTATCTGCAGCCTAAACAAAGAAGGCTACAGTTGCGTTGTCAACTCTGGCGACTAAGATGGAATGATTTACAGCTTGTAAATTATGTTCTGTTGTGCAAATGCACTTAATTATACATATGAAAGTAAAAATTTTATTAATTATAATAATTTTTGTATTTTTGTAGTGTACGGGTACTTCGTTTTAAGTTTGACCTTTTCTTTCGACATGGGTCTCATCACATTCACGCCCTGGCGACTTTTGACCCTGATCATAGCATCCCCCCTTGCTGCTACACTAATGTTTGTGAGTTTTTTGCACGAAAGCCCCAAATATTTATTGAACGCTGGATATCATGATAAGGCTTTAAGCATTCTGAAAAAAATACACAAAACAAATGGAAGGTGCAACGATGAATATCCCGTAAGTATAATAGAACCCAATAAGTATTTTTTCCTTTTATGAATCGTTACCCCCACAATGGGATTTTCGCTTGTATCGTTGAGGCAGCTTACCAATATCCACACCAAGAATTGACTATACAAACCTTCAAGATAAGAGCCTACTCCTTTTTAAAAGGCCGACAACGCATCTGCAATTCCCCTGGTGTTGCGGTTGTTCATGGGCGGCGGTAGTCACTTACCATCAGGTGAGCCGCATGCTCGTTTGCCCCCTCTCCTAAAAAAAAATACAAATACTTGTTCCGTGTGGGATTCGAATTTGCTACCCTCAGTGCTGCAACTCATTACTAAGCCACTGTGCCAGAGAACTGTTGAATAATTCAACATAGCGATATTTTTTAACCACGTTTGTACCCTATGATATTTAAAGTTTTAATGTATATTGAAGAGCTGTTTGTAGTTTCAAGTCTTCAGCTCATATTGAAGAGTTAGATAAGAACCGAGTCCAAAATTTGTCCCTAATAGACAAACAAATGCCTAAACAGACTGACAAGAAAGTGAATTTATATTGCGTAGTCCTTCACTGCTAGTCTTATGAGGAAGCTCAAGGTCACCTTAAGGCTCAGGTAATGGGCATTTATAAGCTGGAATGGCAATACGCCGGGTATTTAGCTCGAAGAATTGGCAACCGATGGGAAAGAAAGTTTCTTGAGTGGCCGCTGCGTACCGATAGACGAAGTGTAGGGCGTTCCCCCAACAGATGGAGTGACGACCTGATGTTTTGTGACATTCTTCGAGACAGGAATATGTTTATCATTGGACCTGTGAAGGGCTGTAATGATAATGATGACAACAAGAAACTCTCCACTCTTCTAACAAATTACCTTCCCCCGTTATGAAATTTAGTCAAATATTACACCTCATTCTTATTCGCTCCTTCATGTTGGCAGAAAAAGTCATGGTATTTCATTCACAATATTTTGACGTCACATCGTCTTATAGTTCGATGAAGCTGGCTGCACGCACGAAAAAACATGACTCATGCGGCGTTACCTCGCTCTGAGGCGTTCCATTTAAGGCATGAAGTGCAAGCGTGAGCGCGGAACGAGCGACAAAGAGGCACAATCGGCTCCCGCGTTCGGCAGCGTTCGACATCTGTCTCTCTCCTACTTGAGTGAGCGATGCGTCCGCATGGACAGCTGCTATACAATAATACATTTACATGTTTTCGTCAAGTATGAAGTGCAGTGAAAAGTGAATGTGGTGTCAATTGTTTATAGCAACATTTTCTTATGACTTTGTCACGTTCAACTATCGTCAGTAAACCGACTTTACAGACAACCGATTTTTATTATAACATAGCATTAGAAAGATTTCTATTACTTACCGATTCTTTTCTGAAAAGTTCTTGTTTTGCGATTACATGTTAAATTTGACGTATAAAAGACTTAACAGGGCTAAATTGAATAAAGGCCTTAATTGAAGAAAAGTTTTGTATAATGATTTCATATATTTACGTGAACACTACACATATTTGAATGAAACTAGATTATTTACGGATTTTATCGCTTTTATTAACTTATTAAATTATAATTAATTTTAAACTGAAGGTGGTCATGGTTAACCATGACATTGAGATGTCGAACACCTCAGTCTCTCCGTGACCGTGGGTACTGTAAAGTACTCGAAACGTCGAGAATAAATAATAAGTTAATAAAAGCAATAAAGTCCGTAAAAAATCTATTTTCATTCAAATTAAGTTTTCACTATTTATATATTTGAAATTAAGTTTAAAATTTGACTACTCTTTGAAATGTATAACACGTTTTTAAGAATTATAATAACTATTTCAGGTGAAGAAAATAGTCATAAACGAGACGGGCGCAACACTAAGGAAAGCGAACGAGTCTCTACTGAAGTCTCTAAAGGATCAGACCGTACCACTATTCAAGCCGCCCATGCTCTACCGAACTCTACAACTTTTTTATTTGACTGTGGTTGTCTACAGTCCGTAAGTATAAAGGGAGTCCTTCCTTTTCTGGCTAGTAGTCCGTCTGGAAACCTACCTATCTACCTACCTATTTTTACCACCAAATAGCAGTGTTGCCCTGCTTGCTTTGTTCCGCTCTGAAGGGTAGAGAGAGTCGGTTTTTTTTTTATAGGATCGAGTGACAAACGAGCACACAGTCCACCTGATGGTAAGTGGTTGCTGTGGCCCATAGACATCTACATTTATCTTCGTTTGCGAATCAAAACGCAGATGCGTTGTCACCCGTGAGGACTAAGATGGAATGCCTCTTTTCCAGTAAAAAGAGTCTCCGGTTCTCTAAACTCACCAGCAGTGTTAAACTGCCATTTGACGCTGGTATTCTGTGAGAGCGTGGTCCTTCCCCGGTCGAGCCGACCCATTCGTGCTACAACTATACTACTAAGGCTAGGCTCGTCTGACACACATATACATAAATATATATACTCAGAATAATAACACCTATATATATATACGTCTTTTGTAATGCGAACAGCAAAGGAGTGGAATACTTTGTTCCATCCGAATACAATCTGGGCGTCTTCAAGGCAAGAGTGAATAGGCTTTTGTTACGCTAAGACAGTGCGATTTCACCACTTATTTTTGTGTGGATTGTGGTGAAGCACTGGCTTATAATAAGTTAAAAAATATATATATTCATAAATATAAAGTAATAAATATATCAAATATATAATCTATTATATCCTTATATATTTGCATAAGTATGATCTATATGTATGTGTGCGTTTGCGTGTGCGTGTGCGTGTGTGTTTGCGTGTGCGTATGCGCGTGCGTGCCTGCGTGCGTGCGTGCGTGCGTGCGTGCGTGCGTGCGTGTGTGTATGTGTGTGTGTGTGTGTGTGTGTGTGTGTGTGTGTGTGTGTGTGTGTGTGTGTGTGTGTGTGTGTGTGTGGGTGGGTGTGGGTGTGGGTGTGTGTGTGTAGTCCTCAAAAGTGACAACGCTTTTTTGTAACCTTCTTTTTTTAAAGTTACCTAGTATGTTTGTCACATCAGTTAAAAAAAACAAATTCGATACACTATAATTCTAAACACCAAGGCAAATCCGTAAATAAAACCCCCACAAGGTCGGTTGTACGTTAACCGAGCCATGCATAATTATTATTTGAATAGAATAGAATAGAATCACTTTTATTCAATATAGATTTACAGTACAGTGGAAAGAACCAGCAAGAAATCCAGCGGGATTTTACAATATAATATTTTATACAATTGTTATGAAAACATTTAGAAACAGCATGGATGGGGATATTTAATACATTAATATAATTTATACGTGGTAGAGCCACATTGCAGCTATATTATGGTTGTAGCATGACTGGGTCGGCTTGAGCGGGATAGCACCACGCTCTCACAGAATACCACCGTAAACTAGCAGTTTAACGCTGCTGTGCTTCGTATGGTGAGTGTGGAAAACCGGCGTCTCGTTTTCCTGGAAACGAGACATTCCATCTTAGTCCTGAGGAGTGACAAAGCATCTGTATTATGATTACTTAATCGAGGATAGATGTAGATGTCTATAGGCCACAGTATCCACTTACCATCAGGTGGATAGTGTGCTCGTTTATATCCCTTATTTTATATTTAAAAAAAAAAACTGTCAGTCGTAGAACTGCACGTCGGAAGTGCAAACTTCTTAGCTTCACAAACTTGTAAACATTAATTTTTGGGTTGTTAAGAAATATTTTTTACGAAGTATTTTTTATTAGAAATTATTTTTAACAACGTATTAATATAGTAATTAAATTTTCATTTATTGCACTGTTTACACAAAAAAGAATTATTATTATCTATATAATACAAACAAATTTATAAATACACATCAATTTTATAAAATTTTATCAATTGGATTTTCAAATATTGAGAGTAATGAATACACTACTTCATTCCGGTATTCTGTGATACTTCACCAGTTCTAGCCGACCCATTCGTGCACCGTGCTGCGTGCTACCATTCTTAACGACCACAGTACCACGTCTGGTTCCGTGATCATCGATCCAACTGCCGAGCGTGGTGAATAAGGTGATTCTGCAGTGGACATAAAGTCTTCTATATTAGTCCACAAAAGGCTAATATGGAAGCAGCATAGAAAATAGAGCTAATGGGCATTTTCTAAATTCCAGGAGCAATGGATTAATGAGTTGGCTGCCATTCCTGGCCCAATTATTTTCAAAGGACTTGGCGTACTCAGGTGGTAGCAACGAAACTCAGGGTCTTTGCAGCATGATTGATACGTCACAGAGTGTTCAAACGGTTGTTGGTGGGGTATGATAGTCTTTATTATTATTATGCTTATAATTTGTTAAACAAACAAATAATATTTGAACTTCTTTAGATGTATGAAATAATTGGATATGTTATTTGTCGGATTACGAGGTACTCCTTTTCAATAAGTTCCGTACTAACAGGGTGCTGTGGCAGTACGCTATAGTCCGATAAATTTGATAATCCGATACCGCCTTTGCAAAACGTTCGTCGGATTACCGCGGGTCAGCTGTATTTGAAAAATCAAACTAACATATTCACTATTGTTATAATATAAATCTGCTCACACTTAATTACCAACCAAACTTATGAAAAGCTTTTAGCTATAAATTGCACGTTAAACGTATGCGTTTGGGCGTATTTCATACACAAATACATTTAGGCGAGTCGTGCCTTCACAGCCACTGAGGTCACTGGCCAGCCCCCCCCCCCCTTGTTTCCGCGCACAAAGTAAATGACATATTACAAACTATTATCTAAATATATAATAATGTCCTCCATACTAGCCATCGGCGCAGAACAGGATTATAGTGCCAGAGTGTATAAAAGTGTAAAATTCTTTTGAAACAGAAACTGTTTTATTCAATAATAATAAATAATACTTATAGAAAGTCACTCTTTTGTTTAATTACCAATGGTTCGAAAAAACCTCTGTCCTCGGAAGAACCAGCAAGAAACCCAGCGGGACTTAAAAAAAAAACAGCTTACAATCATGTATGTTACACAATTAAAACACAACAAATTAGAAACAGCTTGGTAGCGATCACCTCATTCCTAGGGGTTATTATCATGCATAAATTCCTTAATATTATAATAACCCTTTTTATACAAACTTAGTATAATAAAGTTTTTGAACTTTGAGCACGTTAAATTTTGTATATTTTCTGGAATTTTGTTGTAAAAGCGTATACATCGCCCCAAGAACGAATTCTGTCTCGGTGGAGGCGATTAACTGGTACTACTAGCTTGTGTCTGTTCCTAGTGTTTACAGAATGATTGTTTTTTTATAATTACCTTTATTTTTGTGTACGTACATTACATTTTCATAGATGTATTGCGAGGCCAGAGTTAATATATTAATTTCCTTAAATTTTTATCGCAGCAACTCTTTAGGCTTTAAATCATAAATTGCTCTTATGGCCCTCTTCTGTAAAACAAATATAATTGCAGTGTCAGCTGCGTGTCCCCATAGTAAAATACCATACGACACTATGCTGTGAAAATAGCTAAAGTAAACTAGTCTAGCTGTTTCAACACTGGTAAGATTACTAATTTTTTTTACAGCATATGCTGCAGAACTAAGTCTGCTTGCTAGTTTTTATATATGGGGGCTCCATTGAAGCTTCGCGTCTAGTGTGATTCCAAGAAAAATGGTGGTATCGATAAGACTGAGTTTCTCTCAATTTAAAATTATATTAGTATCTAATTGTTTGACATTTGGAGTCATGAATTTCATACATTTCGTTTTAATGCCATTTAAATGCAAATTATTAACATTGAACCAATCTACTAATTTAGATATAGCACTATTTACTTCGTCATATTTTAGTAATTGTCGTCTTAATTTGAAAATTAAAAAAGTGTCATCAGCAAATAACACTATATTATGGTTATCCCCTACTATGTAATGTAAGTCATTAATATATACAAGAAACAGAAAGGGGTCGAGAATTGAGCCTTGACGCACACCCATTTTTACTATCGACCCGGAAGAGCTCATACTGTTAACAGGGGCGTAGCTACCGCCGTATCAGCCGTATCAATGATACGGGGCCCCCAGGCTACAGGGGCCCCAAACGTGTGTAAACAAAACTTCCAAGGACTTCTATGGGACAGGAAAGGCCATCAATATCGTTTGTAGAAGCAAAGAATTTAGAAAAACTGAAATAGTCTTAGTAGTTATGAATGCCGCCGAATCGTCTTCAGCTATATTCGCTGAACAAAAGGCAAGAAAAGTGTATATTTGATTTTAATTGTTTGGCTAGCTTAGTTCCTAGGAGTATTAATTGTAAGTAATAATAGTAACTAATAATCAATAATATATAATAATTTTAATTTTTTTTATAGGAGAGGGGGCAAACGAGAATGCGGCTCACCTGATGGTAAGTGACTACCGCCGCTCATGAACAACCGCAACACCAGGGGAACCAGGGGAATTGCAGATGCGTTGCCGGCCTTTTAAAAAGGAGTAGACTCTTTTCTTGAAGCTCCTTAAGTCGTATCGGCCCGGAAAAAACGCTGGTGGTAATCGATTCCACAAGGAAGTTGTGCGAGGAAGAAAACATCTTCTAAATCGCACAGTGGTGGACCGCCAATCATCCAGGTGGTATGGATAGTATCGCAAGTTTTGTCGTGATGTGCGATAGTGAAATTGAGCGGCTGGAATTAGTCCGAACAATTCCTCAGAGCACTCCCCGTGGTAAATGCGATAAAATACGCAAAGAGATGCAACATCTCTACGCAGTGCCAGTGTATCGAGCCGATCAGAAAGAACTCGGTCGTCGACGATTCGAACCGCTCTGCGCTGGATGCGGTCAAGTGGAAGGAGCTGGCACTGGGGTGCCCCGGACTAGAGATGAGAACAGTATTCCATGTGAGGCCGGATTTGCGCTTTGTAAAGTTGCAAGCGATGTGCCGGCATGAAATATTGTCTCGATCTGCTGAGCACGCCAAGCTTTTTTGAGGCCAGTTTGGACTTCCCTTCCAAGTGACCATGAAAGTGCACACTATTCGATATGTCGACGCCGAGGATTTCGATGCTAGCTGAGGAAGCAAGGGGAGTGCCTTGAAACTGAGGAGATAGGACAGGGGTTCTTTTTAGCGGTAAACGCGCAAACTTGTATCTTCTGGGGATTTAACTAGACTGGTTTTAGTCGCCCCCAATCCGAGACTTTGTTCAGCAAAGACTCGACTTCAGACACAAGTTTGTCCGGGTATTCGGTGACGTTTTCTTGAGAAATATTGGCACGGCCGGTATATAAGGCATCACAAGTGTTGTCGTCTGCATAGCAATGAATGCTACCAGTTAGCAACATATCATTGATATCCCGGAGAAACAGCGTTGGTGATAGCACGCAGCCTTGTGGAACACCGGCGTTGATGATAGGCTTGAAATCAGAGCATGCACCGTGTACTACGACCTTGATGCTCCGATCAGCAAGGAAACGGGTGAACCATTTGCACAATTTCTCGGGAAGCCTATTGGAAGGAAGCTTCGAAAGAAGCACTTTGTGCCAGATCCGATCGAAGGCCTTCGCTATGTCTAAACTAACGGCCAATACCTCCCCCTTGGACTCTACTGCCTCCGCCCATCTATAAGTCAGGTAGACCAAAAGATCACCAGCTGGTCGACACCGACGAAAACCGTACTGGCGGTCACAATTCAGCTGGTGATACTCAAGGTACATCAAGTGAGCTGGCAGTTTATAATGGATTCCATTATTTTGGAGAAGAAGGAGGTTATGACGATAGGCCTGTAGTAGGACGGGTCTGAGCGGTCGCCTTTTTTAGGCATCGGGTGGACCAAAGCTCTCTTCCATGAATTCGGGACTACGCCTTGGGAGTAGAAGTATCGAAATAGACGCGTTAAAACCGGTGCCAACTCCGGAGCACACGTCTTCAGCACAATGGGAGGGACTCCATCAGGCCCACTCGACTTGCTGACGTCCAGGGAGAAGAGTGCTTTACGAACCGAGCGCTGTGTAAATCGCAGATCCGGCATGGAGCCCTCACATCGCGGGATGGTCGGCGGTGTGTTCCCCCTAGAGTCGAGTTGGACGCAAAGAGAGAGCTTAAAAGATCGGTTTTCTCCTTTGTGGCATGGGCCAGTGAGACGTCCTCTCTTTGCAGAGATGGAAGAAATGGTTGACAGAAGTTTCCTTGGACAGCCTAGGCGAGAGACCAGAATGCCCGGTTTCCCGAAGGAAGGCGAACTAGCCTCTCGCCAATTCTGCCGATGTACTCAGAACCTTACCTTGGCAATGACGCTTTTGAAGGACCTGGAGGTGGAATTATACTCCTTTTTAAGAGCGCTGGTGTTTACATCCCGAGACGTTGATGCGTCAGCCCAGGCCCGAAGGCACTCCTGCTTATAGCGTGATGCTATTTTACAGGAGCGACCAAATCATGGCTGGGTTCTGCCTCCGATGGGCACCACAGAGGATGGAATAAAAAGTTCCATACCCTGAAGTACCACATCAGCAACAGAATCGGCAACAACGCTGGGATCTTCCGGCGAGAAGCAAACCCGCGCCCAAGGGTAGGATGATGCAAATAAAGACCGCATCGCGTCCCAATCGGCCGACCTATAGTGCCAAACACGGCGGCAAGCTGCAGATCGTAACTGCGATGGGAGCGTGAGTGGCACCGTACTCCGGATCAGACAATGGTCCGAGGAGCCCAGAGGGGCATCGACGGAGATCTGATAACCGTCCGGATGAGAGGTCAGCAGAAAGTCCAACAGCGAAGATATAATATGATCCTCCACATCTGGGATCCGCGTAGGCGAAGTAACAAAAATTCACGGATAGCGTGACAGGGGTCGCCATGATCTTATTGCTTCGCTTGCCCCGAGCAGTCGTAGTCGCGAGCGTAATTTTGCTCCCCCCCCCCCCCCCCGAATACGCGGGGCAGCCTGAGCACCCACGCTCAGGAGTGGAGTAGGTTGATCGTGGATGCTCAGCGAGGGATTCTCCAGGGGTGCTGGTACCTGGGGTAGTCTTTTCTTTAATTCCGTTACCCGGCCTCCGGCCACCTGCACTCACCAAGCGCAACGCAGAGGTAAGCCTCTGCTTCACGCTGGTATTCTGTGAGGTCGTGGTACCACCCCGATTTGAGTCGGCTCATCCGTGCGACAGCAAAAGCGTGGCTCTACCAAAGCAAAAACAAAAAAAGCAAAAACGCTTGTTTTGAGCCGTTTATGAAATTCTCTTCATTGGGGGCCCCCCAACAAATTTTGATACAGGGCCCATCAAAGGCACGCTACGCCACTGACTGTTAATGATAATTTTTTGAGTTTTATTACTTAAATAAGAAATAATTAATTTTAGAGCATCATTTCTTACACTGCAGTGTTGAAGTTTCCTGATTAATGTTTCATGGTGAACACAATCGAAGGCCTTGGATAGGTCACAAAATATACCCAAAGCATCCTGTGAATTCTCCCATTAAAGATATATTTAATCAGCTCAACACCGGCATCAGTTGTCGAGCGACCCCTTGTGAAACCAAATTGATTTTTATGAAGTAAATTATTTATATGAAAGAAATTTAACATTTGATAAAGAATAATTTTGTTAAAGTGTTGTTAGTAAAGAAATAGGTCTAAAATTGGCGGGGTCTAATGTACAAACAATCTAAAGGTATTACTTTACTGTGCTTTATTAAATCAGGAATCTCACCAGATTCGATACTAATAATAAAAATAATAGCTGGATGAGGCGCGATCGTATCTATTATGCACACAAGCACAGGTGCACTCTATTCCTTCACTCTCTATCGCCCCATTGGGAGAGTACTTAACCCTACACATCCAGAGATTAAGCGCAGTACGAACCGCTTTAAATGCTTCGAGGCACGAGGGTGAAACTCCACCAAATTCCTGACTCCGATCGGCTACTGAGAATTTCTTGACAAAAAAAAAACTCAATAAATGTTTTGTTTGGCCCGGGGCAGCTACAGAGAATTCTTTGAGAGGAAAACTCAATAAGTGATTATTTTTGGCCCAACCCGAGATTGAATCCGGGATCTCATGATCAGCAGTCGTGTTTACGACCACTAACCAACAAAGCAGTCAAAGTCGAGCACAGAATAAGAATAGATTTGATATTACTGACAACTTTACTCTCTAAACACCAATTGTCATAAGTCTGTAGTAACACCAGTATTCAATTTTATTTATTTTATGCAAAACAACAAATGCGTCCACTACAATATTTAATTTAAATAAAAATAAATATTTATTTCAAATAATACATTTTCATTCACGGTGATTAAAATGTAACAATGATTTTTTGTTGCATTTTAATGAAACTAACCGTGTAGTGGATATTCGTACACCCGCACGGTGTAAGAATATCCACTACCTCATATCGTCCCTTGGACGTCGTAACAGGCGTTGGAGGGGAACTAAAACAGGAGATGGGCAGCAGCACCTTCCGAGTAATAACCCAAAATAATAATACTGCGGTTGCAATCTCGCCTGCCACCATAGGGCATCTATGGCAAGATCCCCCCTATGAGGCAATCTATGGGGAGGCCTATGTTCAGCAGTGGACTTTAATAGACTGTAATGGATAGACCAACTGCAACGCGAACATAATAAGAATAGGGTTGATATTTTATTCATTTATTCACTTTCTAACTACGCGGTCAATTTCCCGCCAAAAAACTAGTTCACAACTTTAGATGCTAAGGGCGATTTCTTTACTAATTACTTTACTGATGGATTATTTTTACTACCACCACACGGCAGAAGTAATATACAGGGTTATTTTGCGATCACTGGCCAAGTTTGCAGAAAAGGTTCAGAATAAATAACATAGGCAAGTGATGAAGAAAAATAATAAAAACAAAATCTCAAACCTTGGATAAATGATAGGTCTTCGCGCGCTCAGACTAGATACCGCCGGCACTCTTGTAAAATGCGGCAACAAATACTACGCCGAAATCGGCGGACCCGAGCCAGTCGCGTTGCAGGCGATATGTGATGTCAACGTACCGAATATTTTATTAAATTTTGATCATAATCCGAAGTAAAATACCAGTTTGCGTAGTGAAACTGTGTAAAACTAATACTATAAGAAATAAGAAAGACACTGGAATCACATACTATCATTAAGTATCATATAATTACAAAATTTTAACATAAAATAACACGAGCCATAAATAAGTCACAAAATACGAGTATCAATGACGCTATTCGGTGTTGCCGCGTATACAAAAATAAAGTTCTGTGGCTGAGATTTTTGTATGTGAATTTATTGTTACTATATTTTATAATATAATATATTTAACTTAATATAATATAACCTAATTGTATATTATTTAAAATTTATTTTTGTAGTATTGCTCAAATGACCTAATATTTATATATTGTTTTATTAATTGTTATTTTAATTATTAAAACATTATTTCCGTTTATTAGGTTTCCGTGTCCAAAGAGTGTCAACGGGAATTAAGTTTCCACTATCGTTCCGTCTGTCTGTCAGCAGGCTATATTTTATGAACCGTAATATGTAGATACTTGAAATTTTCACAGAATGTGTATTGGCTATTATTGCTATAACAACATATAATAAAAATAAAATTTTGGTTACACCATATAATATATAACTACTTTTTTAAATAATTTGTGAATATTAGTCAGACATTTAAATATAGAAATTAAACTGATAAAAATGAGGCCTTATCATTTATATGCCATTTATTCAGAAGAAAAACCTATACATAATATACACAAATATATGTATAGGTTTACATACATTCACTATTAATAAATTATTCATTTTAAGTATTTCTGGTCTGCATTCATAACTATGAACTTAACTCCTAAGCCATAGCATAAAATAACTTTTCCCGTTTATCGGGTAACAGTTAAGCTGCTGGCATATACAATTTTCCACGCACACTACCATCCTTGCAATTGTCTTATACACACTAGAATATTGAGTTGACGCAATCACGGAGCTGTTTCTTTCAGGTAGCGCGGTATCTAGTCAGAGCGCGCGATGACCTATCATTAATCTATGTCTCAAACATTCTGTTCTTTTATCTTTTTAATTCGAATTGCGTGGAAATGCATTATTTTAACTAATTTTACGGCGCACGCACACATTCGTAAGGGTCGATCGATAGGCCAAAAGGTTGTTGCCCATAGATCACATTCAATTTGGGATAATTTCAAATAAAAGTAAGTAGAAGCCTTATTTACTCGTATTTTCAAAAACTGCAATAACGGTATATCATTATTTTGTTTGAACTTAAGTTTAAAATTTGATTACTCTTTGAAAAATAACCCTGTATAGAACTCCACACTGACAGAAAATTACTTATTAAGTGGCGAAGCTTGCGAAGTCACTTATTGATTTCAAGATGTCTGTCCGTCTGTCCGTCTGTCCGTCTGTCCGTCTGTCCCACGATTATCTCGAGAACGGTTTTGAATTTTCTAATTCTCTTTTCAGCAATCGATTACTGATCACCCAGGCATCTGAACCTCCTATTTTGAAACTGATTGCTCAACGACAACCGTTAGAAACCGCTACAAAGCTGATTGCTTCGCCACTTGGCTATGCTGTTAGCTTGCTAGGTTTATTTTACACTTAGTTAAGACCGCAGAACAATAACAGTTTAACATTATGGACGTTAAAATTAATGAACTAGATAAAATATAGATAAGTAATAAAACAAAATGATGTATCTTACCTTGTTTGAAAGCACCTCTCGCCCTCCCTTAATTGCGTGCACTATCCCAATCACCACAAATCTCAGCACCACTACTCCCAATATCACTACACTAGGAAAGACACACCTTCGTCGATGATACGACACGTGTTTCGCCTCTACACGAGGCATCCTCACTTAGCGGTCAGCCATCCATTGGATGATAACAACACATGGGAATGAGGTGATTGCTACCAAGCTATTTCTAATTTGTTTTGTATTGTTAATTGTGTAACATATATGATGGTTAGCTATTTTTTTTAGTACCGCTGTGTTTCTTGCTGATTCTTCCCAGGACAGAGGTTATTTTCCGAATCAGTGGTAAAGTAAACTTTGAAAGTCACTCTTTTGTTTAATTAATTAATTTATTTATTCACAAATTGCGTTAGTTAGTTTAGTATTATCTATAATATAAAAATGAATCGCTGAATGTGTTGCTAAGCGCAAATCTCGAGAGCAGCTGAACCGATTTCGCTAATTCTTTTTTATAATATTCCTTGAAGCACGAAGATGGTTCTTACGGAGAGAAAAATTTAAAAAATTGCCTGAAAAAGTCAAAAACAACACTTATCTATATTACCATACAAAAGATTCGTAATAATACTTAAAAGTCAATTTGAACTTTAATACCATACTATAAAGTTTAAGTGTTAGTGGAGGGGTTCCGGAAAGGCAAAACAATTGAGTGACGTTAGTATCGTATAAATATTAATGTCAATATTTGTCAATATTTATACACACTGGCAGATAGCTGATGTTATATGGAGTAACTTGGGCTGCTTTTATTTTAGGGTTCCGCGAAAAATAACTCCACGCGGGTGAAGTCGCGGGGAACAGCTAGTTTATAATAAATATTGAATAAATAATTTCTGTTTATGTTTCATCGCAAATCAAATCGATGAAATGCAATCTGTTTCTACTTCACCTGATTATCGTTGATCTTCATTATATTATTGATCTCACCTGATTAATTTTTAACGTCTTTAATATAATGTATTTCCGCAATGTAACGCCTGATTCAATTAATAGTTTAATAATTTGCTTCAGGAGAGTTGTCAATCATCTGTAAACATCGAAAGCGTATGGATAGGCCTGATCCAAGGAGTATTCTTCACCACGGCATGTCTTGGCATGTCCATATTTGCTAACAGGAAGAGAATGTTACTAATTGTAATATTTATTATCTCCGGCGGGAGCGGCCTCATCTGCGTCAACGTGACCGACAAGATATCCAGCATCATTTTCTTCTTCGGAATGATATTAGATTGTCTTGGTATCGCAATAGTGTTTTCTTACTTCGTCGATCTTTATCCCACTTCTTATCGGTAAGTTTTTTTTTATACATAAAACTAGCCGCTCGGCTTGGCTCAGTTTGAATGGATCTATTTATATAGCGTTATAAATTTAAGATAATCTAGATCACTTATTTTAACCAGTTAAAATAAGTGATCTAGATAGAAGCCAGTTATATATATTATTATAGACGGCCACTTCATTTCTATTTATATGAATTAACAAACGAACTTTTTTTTTTACTTCATATAGAAACGAAATCAAACGAACTCGAAAAAAGGTTCTCGAGTGGCGGCCTCGTACCGGGGTCGAAGTGTAGGGCGTCCCCTCACTAGATAGAGTGACGACCTGGTAAGACATGCAGGAAGTCGATGGTGGTGTAAAATTACTTACAAAAGAAATATGATGCCATCCATAGCATCAGAGCGTCTATCTGAGTAGTTTTTACACGATAAAACACAACACTTCATCCTTTTCTTCTTAATACTACGAATATACACCGATTTGCGATTTTCAACACTTAAGCGCACAGGACGAATGCTGACAGTATAATAACTTAAGCCACGCCCACTATGATGACGTCAGGACCTACTTAGAATCACAGTGCACAGTTGCTTATGCCGTCTTCTCTTTGTATTTGCTTCATGGTTCAGAAGTGGACTTGTGAAGGGCTGTAATGTTGAACAAACGAGCTCACAATCTACCCGGATAGTAAGCGGTTACTGCAGCTAACCTGTAATCAACTTCAAACAAAGGAGGCTACAGGTGTGTGATAGCTCCTGAGGACTAAGATGAATAAAACAGCCCATGTATGTCATACTACAGTTCTCCACTAATTTCTGTAGTGGTTATGGAGTAATTAGTCTGTAGAGCTACTCCAATATTTAACGGCGAACTTCATTTGTTTTTGAAATAATGCTATTGCAAATTTCCTCAAGATGCACTTGGTAAGAGCCATGCTGCAGCTATATTATGGTTGTAGCACAAACGGCTCGGTTCGACCGGGGTAGGACCACGCTCTCACAGAATACCAGCGTAAAATAGCAGCTTAACGCTGCTGTGTTGCGTGTGGTGAGTGTAGATAACTAGAGACCCTGACTGGGTACGAGGCATTTCATTTTGGTCCGCAGGGGTGACAGCACATCTGCATTTTGATTCGTAATCGTGGATAGATGTAGACGTCTATGAGCCACAGTATCCACTTTCCATCAGATGGACTGTGTACTCGTTTGTCACCCTTATTCTATAAAGTATGTTTTCTATTACCTCTGAGCACGTGGAAATCACATAGACAGTATTTGCTCTGAGGTAAATCAGAACTTAAAATTGCCATTAACAATTTTATTGTTGCCGGTGGGTATCAAGCGCTCAGTTGCTCGTTCACTGTGATTTAAAAAAAATGAGTAGGCTCTTTTCTTGAAGGGCCCTAAGTTGTATCGGTCCGGAAAAATTTCTGGAGGTATCCGATTACCTAAGTTATTAATTTCAGGGGTATGGCGTCATGCCTAGGAGTGATGGTTGCCCGTGCCGCTGCTGTTGCCGGCGTCAGTTTGATCGGGGAATACATGTTTTCGCAATGCACCGTGTCCATTTACGTGTGGAGTATCTTTATCTTGAGTAAGTTGTTAATATATTTGTATATAGGCCATCAGATGGACAGCAGCGTCTTCTTAATTACGACTAAAACTAAAAAAAGCGATTACCAACTCGCTTTCCAAGCGTTTCAACTATGACAAATAGATTGCCTAATGGTTGGGATCAAAGAAGCAATCTATGGGGCTATTTTACAGCAGTGGACTTTAGGATGACTTAAAAAAAAACTTTAAACGGTTCATAAATCGTTGAACTGGTATTTTGTTTTAACCCACTTTAATAAGGAGGAGGTACTCAATTTGACTGTATGTTTTTTAATGTGTGTTAACTTTTTTCTAGGTGAACCGATTTTGATGACTCTTTTTTATTTGAAAGCTGGTGCTTCTCATGTGGTCCCATATAAATTTATTAACGGTCTGAACAGTGGTTTTTTAGTTATTCTTAATAATTTATATTGAAGACGGTGGTACAAAATTTTTAATTTTACCACCTGTATAAAAAGGGTTTTCACTTTTCATGCACTTCATTTATTAAAACCGGACGAATTACGGACACTGGAACTCAAGGCGCGCTATCCCTGTTATGAACCTTCCTGAGCCTGTTAAGAGAAAGTAATGGGGTTCGGAAAATCAAGCACTCGGAACGGTAGTCCGAGAAGCACTTCGCCATACCAACACTCCTCCTCCCCTGCAACTTAACCTCGGCCGTATCGGGCAAGAGGAGAGGACACCCGTCACGCCGCAGTATACCCAAATGCTCACCAAGCCCATTTGGAACCACGGCTATTAATCCAATAATTTTAAAATCATTTTGTATCTTCTTATTATTCACCATCAACCGGCAAGGATATTAATGAGCATATTTTATACGTAGTAGAGCCATGCTGCAGCTATATTAGCAGCATAGTTTTAGCACGAATGGGTCGGTTGACCGGGGAAGGACCATGCTCTCACAGAATACCAGCGTAAAATAACAGCTTAACACAGCTGTGTTTCGTATGGTGAGTGTAGAGAACCAGAGACCCTTTTTACTGGAAAAGAGGCATTCCATCTTAGTCCTCACGGATGACAACGCATCTGCATTTTGATTCGCAAACGAGGATAGATGTAGATGTCTATGGGCCACAGCAACCGCTTACCATCAGGTGGACTGTGTGCTCCTTTGTCACCCTATCCTATATAAAAAAAAGAGAATTTGCCTTAATCTAACCTAATCTTAATTTAAATTTTTTATCCTAAGTACTTCTTATCTCTATGTAGTGTGTACTGCTCTCTGTGAAACATTGATATATCTATCTATCTAATCGTGATGCTGGCAGACAGATTGACGGTCGGAGTATCAGATTTGAGCACATTTGACACTGTTTCCTGTCTCGGGTCTGAGTAAGGTCATGATCGATCAGTGTTTATTTTTTAAAACTTTAATTTTATATTTATGTATGTCATTTTCGAAATTGTAATAAGCCTACAAAAATAAAATAGTTATTATTGATCAAAGTGTATAATTGCATTCTGTTTTATTTCAGGCGGAATTGTTGCGTCAATCTACCTTCCGCCAGACAAGACGGGAAAAGAATAACTTAGTTAGCTTTTTATCCATGTTATTAACTAAATTATTATTTCGTTTCAAATTGTTATAAGTGTCCGCGTATAGTCCTTAACTCAATTTAATTTAAAGTTGAGTAATGAGAACGAATTTCCAGAAAGAATATTAATAGCATTAAATTACTTGATATATAAAAAAATTCATTATTATAAAATATAAATTTGCTACTTATAGTAGTGCCTGAATGGTCAATCTTCCATTTTAAGTCTAATTAGATTATCATTATTTTTAAGGCCTAATGCTTATACTTATGTAAGAAATGCTTACGTTTCTCTATCTTTTTTCAATAAATGGCAATAGAAGGAGAGAATTATAGAGATAATTAATAAATAATTAAAAAATATACCTACATTAATATGATTATAACTTTCATAGTTTATGTTTTAGTTTCATAGTTTTAAGTTTGTGTGCTATTATTTATTCTGTGGTTTAAGTTTAGCCATTAAAATTTCTGTTTTAGTCTGAGAGCTGGCGACGAATTTTGGGGAGATCCTTTTGGCAAGTTGAAATTGTAAAAAAATATAATTTTGTCAACAATACCGTTTTAGTTTTTTTATACAATTTGATGATAAGAGTGATGGGATTTTGTTTAGTCTTTTCTTTGTACTAATTGATAATAAAAGTATATGTCTAATATCTTTCATTTAACTTATTTCATGGCTATCGACAAGTACAATGTAAGTGCAATTATAATAAGTCAAGCACCAAGCTCACAGATTCTGAAATGCCTTGACGACTCGTTTCTTAACAATCTCACAAAAGAAGACGTGATTGTGCTTGGTGTAGGAGTGCATGGTGATAACATAATAAAACTGGAGTCTGAACTTTATTTAGCACTTAACTAAGTGAAACATATACGTGTCTATGTAGTGCTAGTGCGCTCTAATAAACATTAAACAATAGGCTATCATTATGTACAAAGTTATTTCCAAAATGCAAATTTTTAGATATTTCATCGGATAATTTCTATAATAAATTTGTATATCTTAAGCAGCTTTGTAATAAAATTAATTTAGATATTGAAAGTGACGAATATGCACAAACTTTTCTAGACCCTAAAAAAATTGTTATCTATGCTCGTTATTCTATAAAAACTAAATGTTGTAACCGATAAAAACGTCAGAATTCGTCGCCAGCTCTCAGACTATTTGTTTTGAGAACTCTGCATATTTATTTTTGTTTACTTTTTTAATTACTTTATATTACTACACTTTTTATAACTAGTAACTAGTAATGTATTCTATTTCAATGACTCTCTACGACTTTTTCTGCCACCAGGGCGGCGCCACTTAGGAATGAGGTGAAATATTTGACATTTCATAGCGGGGGAACTTAATCTGCCGACTTCCAAAAAGGAGACGGTACTCAATTCGACTGTATGTTTTTTTATGTGTGTTACCTCATAACTTTTTACTGGGTGAACCGATTTCTATGATTCTTTTTTTATTTGAAAGCTGCTACTTCTCGTGTGGTTCCATATGAATTTGATCAAGGTCTGAGTTTTAACTTATTCTTAATAACTTATATTGAAGTCGGCTGTACAAAATTTTTAATTTTAAATTATTTGATAGAAAAGTTAGGATATTAGTGTTTCTTTCTGAAATATTACTTATTATATTTAATACAAATTAGATTAGAAATGCATAAACCACACTATGGATATTCCTAAAAGTAGATGAATGAAATAAACGTTAAAAAATTGTAAAATATTAAACAATACAGTAGTGAGACATTGCTTTTTTTTCTGCCGACTTCCAAAAAGGAGACGGTACTCAATTCGACGCGTATGTTTTTTTTAATGTGTTTTACCTCATAACTTTTTACTGGGTGGACCGATTTCTATGATTCTTTTTTATATGAAAGGTAATAGGGACAGTATTTCATGCCGGCACACCGCTTTACCAGTAGTACAACTTTACTTACTTACTTACTTTACAAGTACTGCAACTTTACAAGGCGCAGGTTCGGCCTCACATGGAATACTGTTCCCATCTCTGGGCAGGGGCTCCCCAGTGCCAGCTCCTTCCACTTGACCGCATCCAGCGTAGAGCGGCTCGAATCGTCGACGACCGAGTCCTTTCCGATCGGCTCGATTCATTGGCACTGCGAAGAGATGTTGCATCCCTTTGCATTTTCTTTCGCATCTGCCATGGGGAGTGCTCTGAGGAATTGTTCGGATTAATCCCAGCCGCCAAATTTCACGAACGCACATCGCGGCAGAACGCCCGATACCATCCACACCATCTGGATGATTGGCGGTCCACCACTGTGCGATTTAGAAAATGTTTTCTTCCTCGCACGACTTCCTTGTGGAATCGATTACCATCAGCGAATTTTAATTTATATTTTAATAGCCTACAAATATACACATCGGCTTGATAAAAGATAGTTATTTCGATATTACAGATTGACACTACAATTTTATTTATATGTATAGATATAATATTTAGTGTTATGTTATAATATTTATTATAGTGACAGAAGCCTAATGGTAGGCTGCTCGAATTCGCCATTCGACTAATATCGAGAATTATTCCTCACACAAGCATTTGAATCTATCTGAAGTGTAAATGAGAATTTTTTGAATTAAAATTGGCTCACTTTTGATCTCTATTTGGCCCTAGGGTACATATGAGGTCTACGATGGAGCGAGTTTGCCCAGGAAATTTATAATTAAAAATATCATTTTAAAAACGCGATGCTTTCATATCAGCACATGCTGAGTGATGTACTTTTTGGTTTAGCCGTGAAAGGAAAAGCGGAGATCTCCCGCCGGGTAAGGTGCTTAGCCCGATGAAAGTCCAACGCTCCGAGTGGTAGTTTTTTTTTTGCGCCCGGATGTAAAGTAAAGGGCCCGATACCCCCCGAGACGCAGGGGAGGGGGGGGGGGGTAAATGATCTTAGCATATGACGCAGCCGTCTGTGTGGTATGTGGAACTCTCTATGAACCTAAGTGCCTACCCACTAAACATCACCTGGGACTGGCTTTGGCCTGGAGGGCCTTTCTGCCGTATCGGAAGCGACCCTTAGGAAAAGAGGGTGCAGGCGGCGAGTAGCCGTTAAGAGGCGCGCCTAACTAAGGCAAGTTATGAAAAGGGAGTAGTAGGGAGGGCGGGAGGTGCTCTTCAAACTAGGTAATACACATCATTTTATTTTATCGAGTGGATGTACGCGAGGTAACTGTTTAAAAACTTTTTAAAAACTATAATATAATGGATTTTCGCAATGTAACGCCTGATTCTATTAATTATTTTAGAAATTGTTGAATTGTGAGGAGCTCTAAGTCTCGGTGGAGGTTGGCGTTACGGACGAACCAGGGTGCGTTCGTAGCCCGACGACAAAAAGTGTTTTTGAACTATTTGAAGTTCGTTAAGGATTCTAGGATTAACATGAGTAAAAATGGGGGCCGCGTATGGAGGGTCGTATACAGATCTTATATAGGGTTCGCTTGTTGCGGGGAGACATTTTACTGTATCGGCCCAGCATGCTGCTGAGCCTGCCCAGGTAAAATCGCGCGGTGCGAGTTACTTTCTTAACATGGGGCTTGAAAGTGAGCCTCGTGTCAAGGGTGACAAGTAATGAGTGTTAGTTTGGAGCTTTTCTATATATACTGCTTTACTACTAGGCGATATACTAGGGCGATTTAGGCTTCGGACGACAGCGCCGAAAGCGAAACGCACCTGCACATCAGACTTATTAAATCTACGTATTTTTACCACGTTATAATAACTCGCTTTTGTGTATGACTGTTCCGGAACGAATTTAATAATTGTTTTTAAACTAACTTCCCGATCGTGGAGTGGCGGTGTAAGAATATCCACTACCCCATATTATCCCTTGGGTGACAGAGGTAAACAAATCACGAGATGGGCATTGGTGGCTTCTTAATAACGATTTAAACGACGTTTGCCAAGCGTGGCAACTGTGTCAATTATCCCTCCCATGAGGCAATCCATGGGGAGACCGTGTGATAAATCAACACTTAAAATTAACGGCTCAAGTACTGCTAAACAAAAAAAGACTTATACAGACCATTGACGCACACAACAATAAACAAATTTATAACTTAACAAGTCAATCGTAATTTTTTTTAATACACTAGGTTTTTAAAACGTTTTTTTTTTTCATAATCCTACATTGTCATCCGATTCTGAGTTATGTTAAAACTTTCAAATCTCTAGCTCATCGAGAAGTCACCGTTACAGCTATTAAAGTCCACTGCTGAACATATGGCTCACAATGTCTCTATAGTTTGTCTCATATTACTCTATATTTACTGTAGCGTGGCGCTTGGGAGGCGAGTTGTCAACCTCAGTTTTATTATTTTTTAGTTGCTTTTAAGACGCTGCTGCCCATTTCCTGTTGTGTTTCTTTCTGTCGTCTCTTACTATACCCAAGGGACGATACAGGGTTATTTTTGCACCGCCTTTACATGGTCATTGCCAACCTTTACAGAGAGCAGAGGAGGCTTTTGCCCAGCAATGGGATGTAGGTACTTATACATTATGTAACTTTATTTAATTTAATTAGCCCGTGAGAGTTCATTTATGGTCATGCAATTACCATCACAATATACCAGCGTAAAATAGCAGCTTCACACTGCTGTGTTTCGTATGGTGAGTGTAGAGAAACGGAGACCCATTTTACTGGAAAAGAGGCATTCCATCTTAGTCCTCACGGGTGACGACGCATCTGCATTTTGATTTGCAAACGGGGATAAATGTAGATGTCTATGGGTCACAGCAACCATTTACCATCAGGTGGACTGTGTGCTCGTTTGTCACCCTATCCTATAAAAAAATTAAATACAAATATTAATATAATATATAATATAATAATATAAAGATATAATACAATACTAATAATCGTACAGGACTTTCTGAAATAGTTATAAATTAAAGTTATATAAATAGAATTAACATTAAAAAAAATTTACTTCTTTAACTTAAATAAAAAATGGCGCGTGTCCGCTCCGACGCGCAATTTAATTATAATCACAATTTAGTGATATTATTTTTTTTATTCTTTAGAAGATAACAAATGATATTTTATTCGAATAGGGTGATGTTATTGGTTTATGTTAGAGATAAGAAATCACTCAACTCGTTGAAACTAACAAACCCATACCTACCTAATAATATTAGTAAAAAAAAAAAATAACTATTTCATACATTGTAGAGCCACGCGGCAGTAACGAGTATATTATAATGGTTGTAGCACGATTGGGTCGGTTCGATCGAATATTATAGAGAGAATGTAATTTAAAAGAAAAAAAGAGCTCCGGCACAAAAGCACAGACCCAGGTCCGCTTAGAAGTACCCCTGCCAATACTGCCATTGTTGGTGCTCCTAAATACCAACTAGCTTTGAACTCAATATAGAGAAATACTAAGGCCCGTATTAATAAACGTTACTCAGCTCAAGTACACGCACTTGAGTACAATCTTGAGGTTATGATCTTATTAGTAAACATATCACAAGATGCGGTTTGAGATTACGATATCGGCTGAGTGCCACACTGATTAATAAATGAAACTCGACTCTCAAGTGTGTGTACTTGAGTGCAAGTCACAGAACAGTATTCCTAAGTACAGCGTTTTGAGATGCTGTTTTTATGTTTTTATTAATTAGCAACGATATTGAGATGCTAAAATCGTAATGAGGCCGTATCAAATGATTACGCACTTGAGTTTGCCGTGGAGTAACGTTTATTAATACAGGCCTTCTACTACTGCTGCTACTGGTGTCGTACGTTACTTGATGTCCATCACCAGTCCATTTCACAGTAAACCATGCGAAGGCATTGCGTTCATCAATTCAGACAGAACCGGGGTGCTGAATAGAGACCAAAAATTTATAGTAATGAATTCTAACAATAACCTTAATAAGAAGTGGTGAAATTAAAAATTTTGTACAACCGACTTCAATATAATATATAATATCGGTTGTCAGACCCAACTTTCACTACTATACATTAAAGTAGGGACTAACACAACACTATGAATTGCAATACGTGCCTTTTTTGACAAATTATGACTCTTCATAATAGCCTGTAGAGCCCCATTCACTCTATTTCCTGCGTTCACTCGACAAATCTTTGTAGTAAGACTCTTTAAAATAAAGGAGTTTTTGTTTAATTTATTTATTTACAAACTAGTAACTTCTTCCTCCTGATTCATATTTATTTAAGACACGGATATAACAGATAAAAAATTAAGGGAGGTGTTATCATATTCTCATTCCTGTCGAAAACATCTGTCACCACCTTGTCCATACCATGTAACATTTGCAACCACGACGATATCGTAAATTCACATTTCATTTATACGTGCAGTTCATAACGCTACAGATTATTGGAATACATCGCAATACGTCCCACGGCTAAGCACAGATCTCATAGTAGGCGATGAAGGTATTCACCATCAGGTGAGCTAACTCTCTCATTTTCTTTAACTGTCATTCATTTGCATCTTCTACCGCATATGCCACGAGGAGTGCTCAGTAGAATTATTCTGATTAATTCCAGCTGCTGAATTCTACCTTCGTAAATTAAAACGGAACTACGAAATTCCATCCTCATGATCTCGATGGTTGGCGTTTCACTGTCGTGCAATTGCGCGGAATTTACTGCCTCGCTCGACCATACCGTGGAATTCATTGTCACCAGCGGTCTCTGGACCAATAAGACTTAGCGACCTTCGAGAAAAGAGCCTACTTCTTTCTAAAAAGCCGGCCACGAACCAAATTACCCTGGTGTTGTAGATATTAATGGGCGACGGTAATCACTTACCGTCAAATGAGGCGTATCTTCATTTATCAATAAATGGTAATAATGGCTTTTCTTGGTAAATGTTCCAATAAAAACAATTATAAAATCGGTTGAAATTTGCACAAGACCACATTAAAATCATTTAGCTAATTTTTTTTAATAGGATAGGGTGACAAACGAGCACACAGTCCACCTGATGGTAAATGGTTGCTGTGACCCATGGATATCTCCACATCTATCCTCAATAAAGAACCAAAATGCAGATGCGTCGGCACCTGTGAGGACTAAGATGGAATGCCGCTTTTCCAGTAAAATGGGTCTCCGGTTCTCTACACTCACCACACGAAACACAGCAGTGTCAAGCTGCCATTTTACGCTGGTATTCTGTGAGAGCGTGTGAGAGCCTACCCCGGTCGAGCCGACCCATTCGTGCTACAACTATACTACTAATATAGCTGCAGTATGGCTCTACCACGTATAGTATTATTATATTAATAATCAATTTGCTTCCAAATTTAAAACAGCAAAATACAGATATTCGATCTTATGTGGCACTTCAAACAATAAATTTAACACTTTCTACATTGATTAGCATTAAAAAAAAACCTTGACGTGACCTTAGAATAATAATTAATTGCGGCTGTTTTATTTGTGCTAGAATCCAAGTTTTCTGTCGTTGTTATCTTTATTGTTCTGACAAATAAAAATAATAAGATAAACATAACACCCGTGTAATTGCGACGTCAGAATATCCACTATGACCCATATCGCCCCGTGGGTGTCATAAGACGGGACTGAAGGAAAGAAACCACCAGCATCTTCCATACTATATTATTTATATAATGCGGTAGCCAAGCCGTCTTCCAGGCGTGGTAACTATGGCAACTATCCTCACTGTTTATGGACATGCCATTTGTTCCGTAGTGGACTTTCATAGGTAACTGATACCAATATACGTAAAAAAAACTTACTTTATTTGCTGAGAAAATCGGGAAATAAAATAGAAATTAAAAGAATCTACATTAATGTAAATTTAAAGGTCGAACATTTCTAAGATTAAAACCCTCATTGTCCCACTTTAGTATCATACGCATAGCTATCAACACATTACACCACAAACGTATTTGGCATGTAGTTTTATTAAAAAAAAAAAACACAATATCAATAATGATTTCTTAACACGAATACTTGATATTCAATGAAACGAATTTAAAGGATTTTATTGCGATTAATTTAACTTTAAATTCAATATTAAAGAGAAATAAAAATAAGTTAAACAAGTTAAATAAAACGCGATAAAATCCGTAGTTAATCCAAAAAAAAATATCTCGTAAATAGTCTCGTGACTACAAAGATGTCTACTTTTGTTCTAAAACATATGAAAATAACATCTCATCAAATACAATAAGACTTAATCAATTCAGTATCGCTACGGTTTCGTGACGGACTTGTCGGCTTGTGACAGAAAATATAAAAGAAAATAAATTCATTATAAAAATGACTTAAAAATGTAAATAAAACATTTTTATTTTTAAATTTGTGTAATAAAATTGTGTGTGTTATTATCAGTCAGTATTTCTCCAAAGTGTAAAAAGAAACAAACAAACAAAAAATGGGTATAGATAATAAAAGTTATGTGAAATCGGACGAGGACTTGGAGATGTATGACAAAGGTCAGATCGCCAAGGCAGTTGACAAGACCTTTGGTTATGAGGAGGCGTTAGATTTAACAGGTAAATTCTTTTTTTTATTTGAAATAGCAGAACGCTGTAGCTCAGGGACTAAATGTTGATTTGTCATGTGCTCGGAAATCATCGTAAGGAAACCTACATATCTGAGGTATAAACTTATTCCGAAGACATGTGCAGCCCGCTAAATCTTGGAGTAATGTTGCAAGTAAGAAGTCTCTGCTGAGTTAAGAGAATTTAATGTTCTAATTCTATTTATCTCGGTAATGAACCCAGGAAAATGTTATTGTAAGTAACCTTCAATGGCAATTATCATTGGTGGTCTCCGTTACCGTACCGTTACAGCCTATTTAAGTCCATTGCTGACCAATTAGACGTGGTAGAGTCATGCTGCAGCGATATCAATATAAGTATAGTTGTAGCACGAATGGGTCGGCTCGACCGGGGAAGGATCACGCTTTCACAGAATACCAGCGTAAAATAGCAGCTTAACACTGCTGTGTTTCGTATGGTGAGCGTAGAGAACCAGAGACCCTTTTTACTGGAAAAGAGCCGTTCCATCTTAGTCTTCACGAGTGACAACGCATCTGAAGATAGATGTAGATGTATATGGGCCACAGCAACCACTTACCATCAGGTGGACTGTGTGCTCGTTAGGTCTCCCTCATAGATTGCCACGTAGGGGAGATATTTGTTATAGTTGCCACGCCTGGTAAACGGGTTGGCTATCGTAGTTTTTTTTATTTTAAGTCATTATCAGGAAGACGCTGCTGCCTATCTCCTGATTTATTTCCCTCTGTCACCTCTTACGACACCCACGGGATGATATGGGGTAGTGGGTATTCTTACACCGTCATGACACGGTATAAAATTAGGATCAAGGGTCGTTCTAAATAAGTTAAGGTGTTAAACGAGCACATAGTTCACCTGATAATAATTGTATGCTTGTGATGTGATCTATCCTTCGCTAAGAATCCAAATTGCAAGACTAATGTGGAATGGCTCGTTACCAGTTAAAGGAGTTTCAAAGCAGCATTAGGTTGATTCGACTGCCATGTTTGTCTAGTGGTGGAAAGTGCGACTGTTTATCCTGTCGTTCTGGTTCCCGTGTCGGACCAAAATCAATTATTGGGATTTTCTGCCAAGAAATACCAGGAGTCAGGAAGTTGTTGTTGTTTCACCCCCGTGCCTAGGAAAGCTCGTAAAGTCGTTGGTGAAGGAACTAATAGTGGAACTGAGCTTGCGCATCCACTCGGACACTGTAATCTTGTCTTGCGCAGGTGATTAGTCCCCGTTAGGGCTATTTCTTTTACATAGAAACATACTAAAAGAGCAATAATAACCCACGTAAAAGAATATATTACACTGGCGTGAAGCACCGACGATCCGAGAAGCCAGCAGTATGTGAGCATGTTCGGAATCGTCCCAACCATTACATCAGATTCACTTGGTTATTGAAATTAAAAGACATCAATTCAATGGAATCCCAAATTACTGCAAGACATCAAGATACTGTAAGCTCATTCTGCGTAGATCGGACTAAAAATTTATATTTAATGGTTGAATCATCTTCGTTAACTACATTAGAACGTCAAATACCTCATCTAACAAAACAACGTAATTATCCTACCGACTTCAAACTGGAGGAGGTACTCAATTCGACTGTATGTTTTTTTATATGTTGACTGATAGTCTCGGATTCAAAGAAGAGTTTTTTATCACGGAAGAAGAACGTTAAACGATCCACTTTCGAATAGACTTTAGTTCTCAATAAAAGTTTTAGTTTTGCACCGCGGAAGGAAGTTTAGAAAGTGTAGACAATCAAAAATACGGAATCAATAGAATAGCGAATCAACAAGGGTAAGAAACGCAAGAGTCTTATTTCGATTTCTAAACGTGTTTATAATGTGCACATTTCAATGCGTTTCGTCTATTGACAGCAAAATAATAAATAGATTATTTTACTTATTCCACAGATAGATTCTATTACTAGTTCTACGGATTCTATCGCGTTTAATTTTAACTTTTTAACCCCCGACGTTTCAGGTGCTTTATATATACACAATACATCACGGAGGTGATAGATTTCGTATTTATATTATATTTGTAATATTCGTCAATGTTCGCCTCCAGTCGGTAACACATCAAAGAAATACATATGTTTGTTTGTGGGCGTATCCATATCCATATCGTATGCCATTATCCCCGCAAGTTATTTAGGTTCGGCATAACATATCCTCCTTATCCGTTCTCCCCTATTAGCCGTCCTTGCTCCACTCACACCTTTCTTATGCATATCATCTTTAACACAATCCATGCATCTTTTCTTAAGCCTCCCTCTACTCTTATATTCATCCACTTTCATCTATATTTCATCCATCCATCTATTACAGGTTATAATATTCTACTGCTGAACATAGGCTTCCCTCATAGATTTCCTCATAGAGGGATTTTGTTTTTGTGTCAATGAATTGGTGAATCGACGTTTCAAGACGTTTAAATTAATCAAACTATACTAAAACATACCCGTGAGCCGTGGTATTTCAGGGGTTAAGCGCTCGCTGTAAATTTCACAGAACGCGAGCAACCCCGGTTTGATCTCCGCCGGTCCTCACGGGTGACAACGATAAATCTATTTATTATTTTGCTGTCAATAGACGAAACGCATTGAAATGTGCACATTATAAACACATTTAGAAATCGAAATAAGACTCTCGCGTTTCTTACTCTTGCTCTTTCGCATTTCAATTGATTCCGTATTTGATTCTCCACACTTTCTAAACTTCTTTCCGCGGTGCAAAGTTAAATTTTTTATTAAGAACTAAAGTCTGTTCGAAAGTGGATCGTTTAACGTTCTTCTTCCGTGATAAAAAAAAACTTTTCTTTGAATCAGAGACTATCAGTCAACCACTGCAGCCGAGGAAGTCGTTGCCGGCCATTAAGGAATGCGGTATTTGGACGGCCCTAAAGTCACATCGGTCTGAAAAAACTGCTCGAGACAGTAAATTCCGCAATATGGTCGTGTTATTTCTTCAATAGAACTGACCTTTGAGTGCACGTGTCCGTGCCAGAGATCGCTATGTCATATCTATAGTTCACTAAGAACAAGTTAAGCTTATCTCTAAAATGTTCAATCGGCGTGCTCTAAAAAAATTATCAATGTGGTTAAGATAGTAAACATCCACAGTCAGAGCTCAAAGAAAAAAAATGTGTATTCCAATTTAATTCATCATCTATTACAGACTATCAAAAGTCCACTGCTGAAAGTAGGCCTCACCCATAGAATACCTTATAAGGGGGGAATAAGGGGGTAATATTTAACATTGATTCTACGCTTATCAGGCGGCTTGGAAACTGAGGTTATTTATTTTGAGTGGTTGTGCTGGGGAGTGATAGTGCTGGGATTAACGGCGACGGGTATAGTGCGCGCAATTGAGGCAGGGTGGGAGGTCCGCTTAAAACTGGTCAGGACACATCATTTTCTTTCTTTACGCGGAATTGAGTGAATTAGTTTATAATAACCCCATTTGTTGTTTATTATAAGAAACGTTTTAACACGTGGTAGAGCCATGCTGTAGCTATATTAGCAATATAGTTGTAGCACGAATGGGTCGGCTAGACCGGATACGGACCACGCTCTCACAGAATACAAGCGTAAAATAGCCGTTTAACACTGCTTTATTTCGTATGGTGAGTGTAGAGAACCGGAGATCCTTTTTACTGGAATAGAGGCATTCCATCTTAGTCCTCTTGGGTGACAAAGCATCTGCATTTGACACCCACGAGATGATATATTGCAATAGGTTCTCTTACGCGGGCACTGCACGGCGAGTCTAGTCAAAGACAAATATTTTTATTTAAAATTGGTTTTTCAAACGATTTCGAAAAAGGAGAAGGTTCTCAATTCGTCGGAATCTTTTTTTTATGTATGTTAGCCGATTACTCAAAGACGCCTGAACCGATTTGGAAAATTCTTTTTGTTTCAACTTTTTCACTTTCCAGGTGGCCCTATTTAAATTTTATCGAAATCAGCCGAGGGGTTTTAAAAAATCAACAATAAATCAGATATACATATTAATATGGAAGCCGTGTGTACAAAATGTTAAATTTACCACTTGTACAAAACACTATCGCTTCAACAAGTTATTGTAGTAGGAAGACCGCTTAAAGACCATTTAAAACCCATTATTTCCACCCCACCCACTAGCAAAACAAAAATTCCCACCGAGAATATTGTTAGCCTTATAACTCTAAGCACCAATAGATTTAAAAAAAATTTACTGATATCGCTGCAAAATCTATATGTCCAAACTGAACATCTCACAATATAAAACACACACACACACACACACACACACACACACACACACACACGGGCGCGCGCGCGCGCGCAATGCAGCACGTGTAATGCATGCCGTACTACGAACTTGCAAGTGATGCCGGCGAGAGCGTTGGGCCTGTGCAAGCACCAGAAGTCTGCCTTATTAATCTGCGGTGATTCGAGATGAAGGCAAGTTGGACTGGCTTGCAGTAACTGAAGACTACAGAAGACGATTCTCGGGAGTGCTTGGTAGGGGTTCTTGACGATAATGATGAAGGCTTGAAAGTTGTAGTTTCCTAAGGATGTTGGTTGCGTGTTCACATCACGTCGGTAAGTCACACGGTGCAAGGTATTCAGCCCGGGGAGCGGTCAATGCTCCTGGTGGTAGTTCGGAGCTATTCTATATATACTGCTTAACTTCGGAAATTTGATATTTATTTATTGATTATATATTATTATATATGACGATTTAGGTTTCGTTGTGTTTCGCTTGTGGCACGACGACAGCGCCGCCACAAGAAATATAATTAAACTAGCTCGCCAGGCAGACGTTGTTCTGCCCTTTCCAACGACCGTTCCTAGAAAAATTCTTAAATTCGCAATAAAAAATTTTGAGGACCATTTATCGGGATAAAAACTATCCTATCTCTCAAGTTGGATCAAAATGCACACAGTGTGCAAAATTTCACTGAAATCAGTTCAGTAGTTTAGGAGTCCATCGCGGACAAATAACGTGACACGTAATTTTTTTATATAAAGATTACTGTTTAATTTTATATTGATAATTGGTTTCTTATATTTGAGTGTGTATACTTGTATTAAGCTTTTTTTTGCATATTAGGAAGTAAGAGAGCATTTTTCTTCTACCAACAAACTGCTGAGAAATTTGGCAGACTGTAAAAACTTTAATACATAAGACTTCACGAACCCCCTTCTTACGTAAGATTCTATCTCGTTTTTTCAGAATAATAAAATGTTATTAGAAAAGGATCAGTTACACTAAAACTCACAGTTTGACATGAATCAAATATTTTTATTTTTAACACATAATTTTGATTATACTCGAATACAGATGTAAAGTAGCCAGCCTTTCGGTTTTCTACAGGATACATTTCGGAGAGTATGCGCGGGAATTGCATAATTTAATTCTTCCCTCTCGCTTCCACCATCGGACAAAAAGATATTCGGCTAGTCTCCACCCTTTCCTTGTTGACTTACCACGCATTCGAACCAAACGTTTCGCTACGTCGTTCATCATGCGTACAGCAAAGGAGTGGAATAAGTTGCCAGCATCTGTCTTTTTATCCGATTAAAGTGTGGGTGTCTTCAAGGCAAGAGTGAATAGGCTTTTGTTAAGTCAGTGCGCTTCACCATCTTAGGCTACATCACCACTTACCATCAGGTGGGATCGTAGATAAGCGCTGGCTTAGTTGAATATAAAAAAATACTCTTTTATTGTTATCAGATATAGATTACCATTATATTATTTTAGATAACTAGTTGAGATAATATCTAGTCTGTAAAATATCATTAGGTATTATAATTGAAAGTAAGTTTTTAAATAATCTTAAACTGAGCAAACATAAATCAGTTAAACAATCTACAAACGAATAATACTTTTAAAATAATGATCCACTAGTTTTCAATTAATCTTAAAGAAAATAAAAATTATACAGTAAAAGCTAGATCAATTCAGATCATCAATCGTCGTCTGGACTGAATGAGTTACTAAGACATGTTGTCCAATCGGAAACAATTGGTAACGCATCAGATGCAGAGGCAGATGGACCTTCGTTAACGGTAGCATGATGGATTTTACGGCACCGTACATTTTTGTTAATTAAAATAAGATTAATACACGGGAATAATGTTTTTTTATAGAATATTGGTGACAAACGAGCACACAGTCCACCTGATGGTAAGTGGTTGCTGTGGCCCATAGATATATATGTACATCTATCTTCGTTTGCGAATTAAAATGCAGATGCGTTGTCAGCCGTGAGGTATAAGATGGATGTCGTTTCCAGTAAAAAGGGTATCCGGTTCTCTACATTCACCATACGAAACACACCAGTATTAAGCTGCTATTTACGCTGGTATTCTGTGAGAGCGTGGTCCTACCCCGGTCGAGCCGACCCATTCGTGCTACAACTATACTATTAATATGGTAGAAGCATGGCTCTACCACGTATAAATGTACTATAATTATTATTTAAAACATTTAAAATTGATAAAAATGAACACATTTAAGATCTCAAAATTTTAATAAACAACAAAAAAATTAAAATAAGATATAAATCGAAGTGTACATTATAGAATGAAGAAAACCATTCGACATCCAAACGAATTTTGATTTCTAATATTAAATTTCGACTTATTACGTAAGAATGGCTTTTACTCTCCCCCCCCCCTCCCCTAAGATAAGGGCATGTAGAGATTTTTGCAAAGTTCCCCCCGCTCCTCGATACCCTTATATAAATAATGAATAGACCTTTATGTTAAATGAATAAATAAATTAAAAAAGTAGCTCCACCACCTACTTAACTACAATTATTTAGAAAACAAGTACAATATGAAAGGCAGTTTTACTTTAATGTTATATTATATGTCCCTTTTGAGTGGGTTAAGGAACTTGGCATTCTCAAGGTAACCAGAATGTCGCCTAACCAGTTACATTAAAAATTATTTATCATCCCTTATTTTTCCTCTCTTGGAGGTAGAATATTTTCATCAAATTGAAATCGGCGCACTCTTAAGAAATAGCTTACTTAATAAAAAAAGGATCATTGAAATCGGTTTATATTAGGCGAGGATATCGCGTAACATTATGTAACGTAGATAAAAACACAGCCAACTTGAGAACCTCTTTTATTTTTAAGCCGGCCAACATCAAATCAGTAGCCATTTTTAAAATCGTCTTTGCCATTTTATTTCAAAACATTTTTTTTCTTACTTAAGCTAAATTATAATAAATTCATATGCAAAATATTGTATACATATTCAAATGAGTAGCCCATCACAATAATATTCTTTGTGCTGGGAATGTGTTCATATTATGAATCATTCATACTTTGAAATGGAGGTAACATATTTCTATAATTATAACTTTAAACAAAAAGTAAAGACCGACATCAAATAGCTATAAAATAAGTTAGTTATTTGCTACCTTTAGGAGTGGAATTTTATCTCCATATGGACCTCCCTTGAAGTATATATATTTGATAAATAAACAGAATCATCAGAATTGCTTCAAAATCTGCGTAACATACATAAAAAAACACACTCGAATTGAAAACTAAACACAAGAGCTAATAATTTATGTCATATTTGATCATAATACCGGTATTACAAACGGACGACCTTGAGAATTAGTTCAATGTAAAGTTACTTTACTGTTTTTCTTTATTTTACAGGTCACGGAAAATACAACTATGGGCTGCTATTCGCCTGCTTCATGATTATCATTGCCATGGGCATTGACATTTTCGGGCTGGGCATCATTGCGACCGCCGCTACCTGCGACCTCGGCATGACTATCAAGGAGATTGGCATTCTTTCGTCTATGCCGTTTGCGGGTAATTTATTGTGAATATAATAAAAGTTTATATTACATAAATTTTTTAGAGTTTTCACATAGTATGAGAACCTTTTTCTTACCATCAATTCAGGAGTTTAAGTATGTAAGTGTTGTGATTTTGTTTGTAATTATATTCGTTAACCGTCTCTTGATTAATTTTTTTTCAGTAGCTGTTCTCTACGTGGTAGGGTCATGCTGTAGCTATGTTATGATTGTAGCATAAACAGATCGACTCGAACGGGGAAGGGGCACGCTCTCACAGAATATCAGCGTAAAATATCAGCTCAATGCTGGTGTGTTTCGTATGGTGAGTGTAGGGAACTGGAGACCTTTTTTACTGGAAACGAGGCATTCCATCTTAGTCCTCAGGGGTGACAACGCATCTGCATTTTGATTCTTTATTGAGGATAGATGTAGATGTCTATGGGTCACAGCAAGCACTTACCATCACGTGGACTGTGTGCTCGTTTGTCACCCTAACCTAAAAACAAAATCCTCGTAAAGTTAAGTAGATAAAAGTTAAGTGTTTAATAACAATTCCTTGCAATTGTTTAAGCAATTTCAGTTTGAAATATATGGCTCGGAGTTGTCCCATGGTAACATCATTTATATCGTCAGTAGGACGATTTGAAGAGAATTGAGGTGGAATCGTTTCCGGTACCCATGCGCCGATTTCTCCTGGACTATGTGGCCCATCTGTTACTATTACTATACTATATCTCAGGTACAACAAGAATTGCAGTGCTAAGGACCGAAGGTTTGAATCCCGCACGGAACAAGTATCTGTATGGCCTACAAATAATTGTTCCGGCTCTGGATGTTTGTTTTTGTAAATTTTATGTACCTATGTAAACTGCCCCCACAATACAGGGGAAGGTATTGTTGAGGTAGATTTAAAAATTTGAAGATGCGTTGTCACCTAAGACTAAGTTGAAATGATTCATTTGCAATTAATAGGAACTCTGGTTCTTGTCGATATACTCATAAGTACAAAAGTATTGTTGTTGTGCTGACACGTTTCAATTGATTTTCTCACAAATTTGTGAAAGATATAAATAGTTATTGCAAAATTTGTTAAACTGAACTAAAAAAATCTTACCGTATAGTCTTACCTTGCGTGAGTGTCGTGGAACACTCGGTTGGAACGAAGTTCCTTTCGTAGTATATTATTATTGATAAACCTATAATATTATTGATTAACATATACAAATAAATGAATTATTAGTAGCGTTAATTAAAATCAAGCGTAAAAAATATTTCTTTCATGGCAGGATAAGAAAAAGTGCGAGGGAGATGGATATTATTCCATCTCGCTCGCTCTATAGAAAGGGGGTCGTGATGGAAAAATCTTGGACGTTTTCTCGCCTAGCCCCCATCCGTCAAATTCGTACCGTGCGATAAAGAACTTCGTACCAAAAATCGCGGTTGCCAACCCAAGCGTGGCAATTATGGCAAACTAGCGGTGAGGCCTATGTTCAGCAGTGGAGTTTAGTAGGCTGTTACGAAACTAAAAAACAAAGAACTTAGCGGTTAGCTATCGCAGTCTAGTCCTCATGATGCCTAGTTCAGAGGCAATTACAAGTCGTATTAATGACGATATATTTTCTAGAACAAAGGGCTTGTATGTGTATTACCATACCCAATGGTATTGAATTTATGGGACAGACATATGATGGTTTGAAGTTTAGGGAGTTTTGGGTGGTAGTAACTACGCACAAGATTATGGCGAAGAGGAAGGTGCTAGATAATACCACATTATTATTTACAAACTCAGGCCTTAGCTAATTAATTTTTACGTCTGTAACTAAACTTTTTATCTACAGCTCTTTAAGAGGCGACGACGTTAAAGAGTTTATTATAATACGAGATAGTCAAGGACCTGCGCAGTCCGCGTAACAATGTGACTGCTCATAACAATAATTTTAACTATAGCGTGATTGCGGAGCAAGAAGAATTTCAAATTATTGCAATTCATACAAAAATGCACTTTTATCACTTGAGAATAAACTCGGTTTTCGAATCACAAAAACTGTTCAAAACGTCCTAAAACTATCTTAGTTGCAATAGAAATTAAATTTTATATGGTGGGAATCAAGTGTAAAAAATGCAAAGCTATAAATTTTTTGCTGCTTCGCGACCGCGCTTTAATTATCATATTAAACAACTAATAATGGATTTTTGGACAAAACGTAAACAAGTTTTTGTATGATATTGGACTGTGGTTGTACTCGTCTCATTTTATAAGCTTAGGTAGATTAACAGTTCGATAACTTTAGCTAAATAATTTATTTAGAGCAAAGTTATCACCTCCCCCTCTCGCTCCCGAGCGAGCATCAACCCCCCCCCCCCCCTCAGTTCCGCAAAACGTGCCCTGAAGCGCGCTGTTTTCCAGTTTTAAAGAGAACCGTAAAATATACATGAAAAGTGTGTAGGTACGAAATGATCCTTGATAAATTTTCTATCAACCTCTTATACATATTAAAGTGATTTGACTTATAGTTTTCGCGCAATCTGCCACGAAGTATGAACATTTTTATCATTTATCGATGTTTTGCTCAAAGTTTAGTTTTATCAAAAATTTCAAGACATATATGATTAAAGTAAAGAATAGAATATGATCTTTAAAAAAAGGCGTAATTTATTTCTACTATTAGTGTTTGAACTATAAGACAAGTGTGCGCATCTGTGTTAGAATATTCTAATTAATACTTGTTACTCCCGCTGTAGGAAAGATTTGACTTAAGGCGAAGATTCCCAACGATAGAAGTTTTTTCCCGGTTATTAAATAATATTTTTTTTTATCTCGATCTCAATTAAATCTAAGAAATACCTTTTGACGTTTCACATTAATCATTCCGCAATAACTTAGTATAAAAAAAAAAACGTACTCACACGATTGAAAATAACCTTTTACGTAAATCCAAAGAATTATGAAGTTATCTATATTTTACTACAGCATAGTTCTTTATTACTAATGTATAGTTATTTAAATTCGAATCTTTCAAACAAATAAAAGCAAAAAATCAAAACTCCAATCAACTTTTATGGGCGTTGTTTTAATGATATGTCGTTATACACCTTACCGTAGCGTTTGGATGATTTAAATTCATGCTATTGCGAATAATCGGTAAAAATATTTAAATTTTTTAATTTATTATATGATGATGATAAATTATTATAACCTTTACATTTTTTAATTTATTATATGTTTATTTAAATTTTTATTTTTAGAGTTAAAAAAAAATTTTGAATCATAAATTAAAAACAAGACTACTATTGTTGACTAAGTTGCAAGTAAGTTTAGAAGATGCCGGCTTCCTATACAAAATAAAGAAAAACGCAAAATAATTATTTAGAGACATGAATGCAACAGTTACAACCTATTAAAGTCCACGGCTGAACATAGGCCCCCCCCCATAGATTTTCCCATAGGGGGGATATTTTTCGTAGTTGCCACGCTTGGCAAGCGGGTTAGTAACTGCAGTTTTTTTAAAATTTTTAGACCCATATAACATTATCTCTAGACATTAGCAGTAACCAATAAATATGAAAAAACTGATTAATTTCGTGTTTTAAGTTGACTATTTCTAATTTATTCTGGTATTAATCTAGATAAAACTTTAAATGATTACAAACTTTACAGAATGGATATCGATATCTCTTAAAAATCGAATATTGTAGATACCGATTTTTCAACCGGAAATGGCCGGTAATGGAAATGGTATTTCTTAGATTTGGTGGAGTGTAATATAAAGTATTTTAAAAATATATTCAATAAAAAAATTTACCGAGTTCATGTTTGCGCATGTTTTTTTCCTACTCAATATATGCTATTTCAAGAAGCATCAAAGTCGTGTTTAAAATACGATATTTTTGTTTAACCATATACGTGGTACCATTCTACAGCTATATTTATTTATTTATTAGGGACTGTAGTGGACTGTATGAATTCAATGTATAAAACTGGTTGACTGACTAATTACTACGCTAGGGACTGCTTAAAGAAAAGATAGTACTGTAGACTATACTGTATTCAAATATTTACAAATGCGGCACTAATAAACTATATACAGAGAGGGGAGTCTTTACTCTTCAATCGTCAATGGAGTATCTCTTGATTTCTCTTGATGCTTCTTCTCTTGCTGTTGTCTTCCAGTGCCGCTTCCGAAATAAACAGCTCACAGACCAAAACGCCCTTCTTATATCTCGCAAGAGAGCGTCTCAGTATGTAAGTAGCGTCGTGAGGCGATGTCGCGCGGTGATTGGTCGGCGACATCGCGTGATCTGCTGCCGGTGTACGGGGTGCGCGGGGCGCAACGGGGTATGAAGGGGCGACGGGACGGCGGCTCCCTTCGCCGTCCGTAACATCCTCCCCCGGCGTAGCCTGCGGGCCTAAGCTTCCCTCGGGAGGACGGCTATCTTCCTGACGGGTCGCCGCAGCACTCCGCCCTTGGTCCTGACCTCGACGTTGCGGACCACGCCGTCCGGTCCAGGAAATGTCTTCGTGACGACCCCCCGCGGCCAGACGTTTCTTGGTAGGTTGCCGTCCGCAACCACGACGAGGTCCTCTTCTTGAATTTGGCGCTACTGAGCGTCTCGGGAGTCCCCGCGCGCAACCAGCGTCGGCAGGTACTCTTTCACCCAGCACCTCCAGTACTCGTCGGCGAGCCCCTGCGCCGCTCTCCACGCTCGACTATCGGTGGGTGTGCACGGCGCGGTGCTTGTGGCCTTCCTCGTATGGCATCGACGAACTGCAGTACTCGTGCTGTGGCCCTGATCAATCTCTCGTAGAGAATCGTTCTATAGTTTATACGTGTTAGAGCCATGCTGCAGCTATATTATGGTTGTAGCACGAATGGGTCGGCTCGACCGGGGAAGGACCATGCTGTCACAGAATACCAGCGTAAAATAGCAGCTTAACGCTGCTGTGTTTCGTATGGTGAGTGTAGAGAACCGGCGACCCTTTTTACTGGAAACGAGGCATTCCATCTTAGTCCTCACGGGTGACAACGCATCTGCATATTGATTCTTAATCGAAGATAGATGTCGATGTCTATGGGCCACAGCAACCACTTACCATCAGGTGGACTGTGTGCTCGTTTGTCACCCTTATCCTATATAAAAAAATGTGAAGATCTTCTATAATGATCTTTTTTCTTCTATGATTATCGCCTTTCTTCTATAATTATATTCTTTCTTCTAGCTTTTATCCGGCTCGAAGGACCAAGAATATTAGGAACTGTAGTGGACTGTATGAATTTAATGTATAAAACTGGTTGACTGACTAATTACTACGCTAAGGACTGCTTAAAGGAAAGATGGTACTGTAGACTATACTTCAAATATTTACAAATGCGGCACTAATAACGATATGCCGGTGTGTAATGCATGTCATACAACGCACTTGCAAGTGATGCCGGTGAGAACGATGTGCCGGAGCAAGTGCCAGAAGTTTGCCTTATATATCTGCGGTGAGTCGTGATGAAGACTAGTTAGACTGGCTTGCAGGAGCAGTAGTAGGTAAGGGTATCCTTGAGGATAATTACGACGGCTTGAAAGTTGTAGTTTCCGAAGGTTGTTAGTTGCGTATTCATATCACGATGGCCATGGAAGGAAAAGGAGATATCTCCCGCCGGCCAAGGTGTTCTACCCGGGGAGCGGCCAACGCTCCATGTGGTAGTGCAGATCTATTCTTTTTTAACCTTTTTTTTATTCGTTTTTTATAAGAAACGTTACATCCACACTAGGATTTTCCCCTCTATCGCGGAGCAGTTTACATACATAAATTTCACAAGGACAAACATCCAAACCCTATTATTATAATATATTTCCTATATATTGTACTGATTTTACTTTGGAAGTTTTGGTAGCGCTATTTAGGCTTCGATATTGTGTTTCGCTTGTGGCGCGACAACAGCGCCGCAACAAACATAATTACACAAATATATTACAGATTGTATGTAGATTGTATATCTGTATATATTGGATATACATACTATATATACATACTTAGACTTGGACTTAATACTATCTATATATACTAACTCTATATATCGTTTTGCTATAGCAGTTTCTGATTCAAACACCTATAAAATATATGAAATAAAAACAGGAAAAGGGAAAGTTGGAATTAAAGGCTATAAAAAAATGGAAATCCACACACTACTCCTGGAACATCCGAAAATAATTCCAGAGCAAGCGTTTGTACGATGCCTAACTTGTGGCTGCGCGTACACTGCTCGGTAATTCGTTACATAATCTCACCGTATGGCGAGTAAAAGATACAGGTAGATAGAGAACAAAAAGCTAGTGACTGTGATAGAGGGAAACATGGAGATTAGAATTTTCCACAGCACGGATATAACGTTAATTAGAATCACCCTGATGCTGAAATTTGCACTTCAGATATTCAGGGACAAACTGATCGTGTAAAACTGAAAATAATGCGCACAGTATTCTGAAATATCTGCAATAGAGGAGAGAGCCATTTAAGCTGAGAACAATAAGAGGAAATGTAGTCGTATTTACGTAAAACGAAAATGAAGCGTATACAATTATTAAGAAGTCAATCGAGTTCGTTTGAAATCTACATCATCTACTTAACATCAGGTGGGCTATGGGCTCCCTTGTCACCCTATTTGTATAAATAAAATTAAAGCCTTCATGTGCGAGTCGGGCTCGCGCATGAAGGGTTCCGTACCAACATAAAACACGTTTCTAATAGGGGAACCCCCTTTAATTTTTAATTTCTTTTTATTTCTATTACTTGTTCTTATAGCAGCAATATAAATACACATTTTGTGAAAATTTCAACTGTCTACCTATTACGGATCATGTGATACAGCCCACTGACAAACAGGCGAACGGACAGACGGACAGCGGAGGCTAAGAAATATGGTCCCATTTGTTACCCTTCGGGTACGGAGCCCTAAATAAATTTGGCCTTAATCGTTTTGCTAAATAACAGGTGTCTCGTACCTTAGTCGCCGCTGCTGTTCGCCAGTTGGGTATTTTATGACTGCTGTAAACATGATGGTATACCTTCATCTAGTGAAAGACATAGTCGCCAATAGACGCACCCACGGGACGAAATGGGGATGAGATATCAACAAATATCCCCCCTATGAGGCAATCTATAGGGGAGGCCTATGTTCAGCAGCGGACTTTAAAAGGCTGTTACCTACGTAGAGGCGGCGTAAGAGAGTCTACTACCGCATATCATTCTGTGGGTGTTGTAAGAGGTGACAGAGGGAAAATAAAACAGGAGGTTGGCTGCATTATTGTCGTTATAACAGTTAAATTATAAAATAAAATACTGCGGTTGCTAACCTGCCCTCGTCTGCCAAGCGGGGCAACTATGGCAAATGTAGGGGATATTAGGCAATCTATAGCGGAGGTAAGTTCATTGATGAACTGTAAATGATGTATGAATTCATATATTACACATTTTGTGCGTTTAGATATTTAATAGAGTGGTAGAGTCACGCGGTAGCTTTTGCTGTCGCACGGATGGGCCGGCTCGGACCGGGGTGGTACCACGACTTCACAGAATATCATCGTGAAGTAGAGGTTTACTTGGTAAGTGTAGGTGACTGGAGGCCCACCCTATCAACATGGTAGCGAAATAGACCGACTCATCGACTACGTCCAAACGGCTATAGATTCCTTGTTACAGCAGATCACATCCGCAGAGATCGTGATCCTTGACTATTTTAACACCCACCACGCCGAATGGCTCGGTTCACGTTTATCCCACCATGCGGGGAGATCTATTTATGACTTTGCCTTGGCATATGATCCTACACAGCTGGTTACTTCGCCTACGCGGATTCGAGATGTGGAAGATCATGCACCTTCTCTGTTGGACCTTCTGCTGACCTCTCATCCGGACGGATATCAGGTTTCCGTCGACGCGCTTTTAGGCTCGTCGGACCATTATCTTATCCGGAGTGTCATTCCACTCACACTGACGTCGCGGTTGCATTTTGTAGGCTGCCGCCGTGTTTGGCATTATAGGTCAGCCGATTAGGATAGGATGCGGTCTTTTTTTGCATCCTACCCTTGGGGGCGGGTTTGCTTTTCGCTGGAAGATCCCAGCGTTGTTGCTAATTATGTTGCTGATGTGGTACTTCAGGGCATGGAACTTTTTATTCCATCCTCTGTGGTGCCCATTGGAGGCAGATCCCAGCCATGCCTTGGCCACTCCTGTAAAATAGCATCACGCTATAAAGAGGAGTGCTACCGGCCCTGGGCTGACACATTAACGATTCGGGATGTAAGTATCAGCGCTCTTAAAAGGACGTATAATTCCGCCTCCAGCTCCTTCAAAAGAGTCATTGCCAAGTAAAGGTCTGAGCACATCGGCAGAATTACTAAGAAACTAGTTCGCCTTCCTTCGGGAACCTGTACATTCTGGTCTCTTGCCAAGGCTTTCCAAGGGAACTACTGTCAGCCATCTCTTCCATCTCTGCACAGAGAGGAAGACTCACTGGCCCATGCTGCAAAAGAGAAAGCCGATCTGTTAGGCTCTCTCTTTGCGTTAAACTCGACTTTCAATGACGGGGGAAACGTACCGTAGACCACCCCGCGGTGTGAGTGCTCCATGCCGGATGTGCGGTTTACACAGCACTCGGTTCGCAAAGCACTCCTCTCCTTGGACGTCAGCAAGTCGAGTGAGCCTGATGGAGTCCCTCCCATTGTGCCGAAGACGGGTGCTCCAGAGTTGGCACCGGTTTTAATGCACCGGGATATTGCATCTGTTTGCATTTTCTATCGAATCTACCACGGGGAGTGCTCCGAGGCATTGTTCGGATTAATTCTAGCCGCCAAATTTCACGAATGCACATCGCGCCAAAATTCACGATACCATCCTCACTATCTGGATGCTTGGCGGTCCCCCACTGTGCATTTTACTAGGAGTTTCCTTCCCCGTATAACTTCTCTGTGAAATTGTTTACCACCGGTGCTTTTTCTGGACCGATACGACTTAGGGGCCTTCAAGAAAAGAGCTTACACCTTTCTAAAAGGCCAGCAACGCACCTGCAATTCCCCTGGTGTTGCGGTTGTTCATGGACGGCAGTAGTCACTTACCATCAGGTGAGCCACATGCTCGTTTGTCCCCTCTTCTATAAAAAAATAATAATACTTCCATTTCTTAGGGATCATCGTGATGTCGTATCCTTGGGGATATCTGTCGGATACGCGCGGCAGGAAGCTGGTCCTGATGTGTGCTATGTGCGGTAGTTTTGTGAGCGCAACTCTGAGCAGCTTTGCGCCGAATTGGCAGGTGCTTGCCACCCTCCGGTTTGCTAGCTCCGCAATGTAAGTAAAATAAATTTATGTGCGCCTAGACTGAAAATAAATTTGAAATAAGCAACGACTGCGGAACTAAAAACTCGAGGGCTTGAACCAACAGGTTTGTCAGACTCGCGTTGACTAAAATACCAACTTAGGTTACCAAATAAACAAAAAATTGTTAACCATTTTTATAGAAATAATCTTGGTAAACGTGTACATGGTCCACCATTTGATAAGTGGATACTTTGGTTCCTGGATACCTACATTTATCAACGGTTAAGAATTCAAAGTCAGATGCATTTAACCCCTAAGAACTAAGATGGAATGCCTCATTACTAATAAAAATGGTAATCGGCTCTCTACACCAATTCATTTAAACTTAAATTCAATCCGATTTTATCGAAAATTAAAAAAGACATGCGTGAGTGTCGTGAAACACTCGGTTGGAACGAAGTTCCTTTCGTAGTATATTATACTTAATAAACGTATTATATTATTGATTAACAAATACAAATAAATGAATTACTAACGTCTATTAAAATGAAGCGTCATTTAAAATAATATTTCTTTCATGGCAAGATAAGAAAACGTGCGAGGGATGTGGATATTATTCCATCTCGCTCGCACTATAGAAAGGTCAAATCTTACTTTTATTTATTTATTTATTTTGCATAATGTGTGTGTTACACTTTTTCTCGCCTAGTCCCCATCCGTCAAATTTGGACCGTGCGATAAAGAACTTTGTTCCAATAACGGCTTCGTTTGTTAATCAAAAACCAGAGAAAAACATTATGTCTAATATTATAGTTGGTAAAATTTCCTTACGTACATCCGCTCGATTGAATAAAATGATGTGTCTTACCTAGTTTGAAGAGCACCTCCCGCCCTCCCTCAATCGCTTGCACTATCCCCGTCACCACTGATCCCAGCACCACTACTCCCAACACTACTACAATAGGAAAGACACACCATTGATGAAAATACGACATGTGTTTCGCCTCTACAAGAGGCATCTTCAGGTAATGTAGACTCTGACCGCTAAGTAAGCGGCGAGCCAAAACAAGTGCTATTTATACAACCCGCTGACGCAACCGCTCCCTACTTAAGTATCAAGCAACTGCGCCATGCATTAAAACATGCGACCAGTCACCACCTGACGTACGCAGCCGCTTGTAAAATTAAAAACAAACCACCGCGTAACGCCCGCCTACCCTCCAACCACGCAACCAATCGCCAATCACCGTGAGGGTGACAAACAACCATATTGCGAGGCTATCTGTTATTAGAGAGCAGGCTTAAAGAGCTACTATTATACTTGATAAGCCAATGATAAAAATATTCATTTAATAGTGTTTGGACTTTATTTAATAGAGAAGGCGTAGTTTTAAACCATATCTCACGTAACTGCGTTTAATAATAAATGGTACGATTCATAAATATACTACAAATTAAAAAAAAAGACGTTACCCCTACTTACAAGGACTTTTTCCTGTATCATGAAGGCGTTTTTATATGTAAAATTGAAGTATCAAACAAATACAGTACACCTGATAGCAAGTGGTTACTGCAGTCTATTGACAGGATCAGACAACTTTAAGTTTTTTTTCGTGGTAAAGCCATGCTGCAGCTATATTTCTGGTATAGTTGTAGCACGAAAGGGTTGACTCGACCGAGGACGGACCCTCACAGAATACCAGCGTCAAATAGCAGCTTAATACCGCTGTGAGTTGTATGGTGAGTGTAGAGAACCGGTGAACCCTCTTTACTGGAAACCAGGCATTCCATCTTAGTCCTCACAGGTGACAACATATTTTGATTCAGCAGGATAGATCGTGGGTGTCTATGGGCCACAGCATCCACTTGCGATCAGGTGGGCTGTGTGCTCAATTGTCACTCTTATCCTATATAAAAAAGTAAAGTACGCTACAGATACCTTGTCGCTTATGAGGAATGCCTTACAGACTGTCATTATATTGCCTCTTTATACTCTTTAGACTATAATATATATATATTAAATAAATTTCACTAGTATATTTATACAAAAATAATATATTCTTGTAATCAAAGATACGACCCGCCATAACGACTGCCATTAGAGGTTGCCATGAAGAAAAATCATCTCGTGATTGTTTTATGAAAGTGATCTAAAACATGAAGTAAAGTTGCAGCCTATTTACGTCCCACTGCTGGGCACAGGCCTCCTTTCACTTCTGAGAGGGTTTTAAGGCAAGTAAATGTCCTCTGCGCTGCCCCAATGCGTGTTGGCGAACTTTACAAGTCTTCGAAATATTTTTTCTTATTTCTCAGACATGCAGGTTTCCTCACGAGGTATTCCTTTACCGCCGAGCACGTGGTAAATCAGCACTTAAAACTTACTGCAGTTAACAATTTCATTGGTGCCGGCGGGGGTCGAACCCGAGTTGCTCTAGTACTGTGAAGCTTACAGCGAGCGCTAACTATCTGAGCTACCACGGCTCTTCTGAGCTAGCACGGCTCCAAAACATGAAGTAATGTAATGTTATTCCACTTTCCAGGTCCAGTGCCGCTGAATCTGCGACATACGCACTTCTAGGCGAGTGCTGCAATTCCAGGTCTAGGGCGCGATACATGCTGCTCATGACCAGTGCTTTGATGCTGACTCCTACTTTGTATTATAGTATGTATCCGGCTCAAAGGATCAAGATAATATAATTTATAAATTTTGCACTTGAATCTTTATCTATTGCAACTTTTATTTTATCATCTCATTACTTGCATACCTCGACTTGCATATTTCGTCATTTTTGAGCTTGCCTAACAAATTTCATTTAAGTAGACTGCTGCTAAATGCTATAGTTGAACGACAGCTGCACACAAGTGTTTCTGTTTCTCCTTTCTGTCCAATTGAAAAACAAATTTCAAGTGAAAAATCTTTTATTAAGTTAATGCCCATCTACTCAAACGCTACCTAATTTTAAAATGCCGTTAAGTCTCCTGATTTCCCTATCACTTGAAATCTAGTGTAGTTACTAAATTTAACGAAATCTTAAAATTGTGTCTAAAAAGTGAGTTTTATCACCAAGTAGTGATGAAGCCCTACTTCATCACTATTGCAATTGGAATTGTTGTAGTCAAGCACTGGCACATTATATATATATATATATATATATATATATATATATATATATATATATATATATATATATATATATATATATATATATATATATATCATTGATGGGCATAGGCCTCCTCGCATTTTTAGAGGATTATGAATGTGGATTAAGTCGTCGGTGGACTTCACTATCCTCAATATCGAAATACGATGTTTTTCTTCACCGCCGAGCACGTGATACGTATGCAGTGGGAGTGACAATTAATAGCTTATTTCATTTCGAGAATCTAGCTCCATCTGCTCCGTACGATGAAATTTTAAATATTATTACTATGTATTACTTCAATAAATGAACTGCATTATTTGTTTCAGTATGGGGATATTTCATAACAAAGCTGGACTTTTCCATCCCGTTCTTGGGAATAGTGTTCCGTCCATGGCGTCTTCTGACTTTAGTAATGGCTCTGCCTTTGGGCCTAGGTGCGTTGCTACTGTACTTCTTTAGTGAGAGCCCCAAATTTCTAGCCAACATAGGCAGGAATGAAGAGGCCGTGGAAGCTCTGAAGAGGATATACGTGGGGAACGGTGGAAAACTTGAAAAGTTTCCTGTAAGTACTATTCACATATTCAGACTGTAACAGGGAAAGTATTGCTTCTTTTTAACAAGACTTCTGCAGGAAATGATAAAAATATAACGTTTTCTCTTAGAGAATAATAGTTATTTACCCAGTTCAGAATTTTGTTAAGCCTAAAAGTAGTGCATATAATCAAGTAGGATCATACTTTCATCAGTCGAATCGACCTGCTTGCAACTGCTTACGTATAAGATTCTATTTTCTGAAACTATGAGTGTTCCACTTTCAAATTTATCAGAAAACATCCAGCCATTATGACGATGCATATCTTGCAAGTGTCCAACAAATGAGTAAAGAGTGTGTAACTTCTTACGGCATGGCCTTTTTTTTTAAATTAATATATAATTTTTCAAAATAATTTTTACATTTACTTTTCGTTAGTTAAAAGGCGTTTGAATAAACTTTCAGGTAAAGGATATTTATTTAGAAGAAGGCAGCAAAGATACAGTTGGTGAATTCTCATTGCGTTCCCTGTGGTCACAGATCGCTCCTCTGTTCAAACCGCCTTTGTTGTGGAGGACGTTACTTCTCTACTATCTCACCTTCGTTATTTATATAGCGTAAGTTATTCTGATAATGTTTATTTTTGTTTTGCAATCACTTTTTATTTATATATCATAAAATACTCTGTTATAAATGATAGTAGAAAAAGGAACGAAGTTAGGATAAAACTCGAAACCCCTACTCGTTTAAGCAGAATAAAGAAAGTCAGGCAAGTAGCTTCTAGATCAGACATTCTACGAATCATAATCATCACTGTGATATTATATTATATGGTGGTGATTCCTGCTTTTAGTAGAACATTTAAGGTTTACAAGGAATTAGTTCTTCGCGCGCGTATATCCAGTGCGCGTTGGTGCACTTAACACTTATTTCAAATGATTTCAAAGTATAAAAATACCTGAGAAACTGAAGTTTTTTTTTATAAAACATGGGTGAGAAACGAACACACACCACCTAATTGTAAGTAGATGCGGTGACCCATAGACGCATACATACACATACATCTATCATCGATTAAGAATCTAAATGCAGATACGTTTTCACTCCAGGTCGTGATCCTTTCCCGGTCGAGCGGACCACCACCGGAGAAATTTACGGTGAGCGCTCAGGCCTCGAGCTGCCACGGCTATATGACAATAACTAATACAAGTGTAAAATAGAACCGTGTGTAGAGAACCAAAGACCCTTTTCACTATAAACGTGGCATTCCAGCGCTTTTTTTTTTAAAAAATCACAAGATATTTGAGGGCTATTTATCTCTAAACTTTCTTACTAATGATGCAAAATTACAAAGATCAAACAACTTTTAATAAAATTCGTCGCGTTAGTCGCTGCAGCAGAGTCATGTTGCAGTTTTATTACGGTTGTAGCACGACTGGTTCGGTTGGACCGGGAAAAGACCACTCTCGATGCTGCTGTGTTTCGTAGTATGGTGTGTGTAAACTATTTTACCGGAGAAGAGGCATTCCATTTTAGTCCTCAGGGGTAGCAACACAATTGTATTTTGATTCCTACTATAGGCTAGATGTAGATGTTTATGGACCACAGGATCCACTTACCATCAGGTGGACTGTGTACTCGTTTGTCAACATTATTCTTATAAATATAAGGCCACTCTTGGCCATAAATTGTAAACTTTAATAAAGAGCGTCAGGTGCAGGTGGGTTGGGACTATACTTCGTGGCATTTCTTAAGAGAGGTCTATGTTCAACAGTGGACTTGTGACGTACTGTAATGATGATGATGGTGATAATGAAAGGGCGTTATTATATTATTATTCGGTAACTTGCGTTCTTCAATTTCAGTTCTGCTATTTTTTATTCACAGAAACAACAGTTTTGCTATTATTCTTCCGACTATATTGAACGTGTTCTTCACATCCTACGCGACCAGCAGCGCCGGTATGGGCTTCTGCGATCTCTTCAAGATGACGGTCTCAAATAACGTCACCGTAGTCGAAGAGTTAAGTCGGGTAAATACTTCACAATTGATTTCTGTTTTGAAAGCTTGGATCAAGACTATCGTTGAAGCTGTGGAAAATGGTGAATTTTGTAGTTTTACTGAACAGTGGACTGTATGCTTGCCGGTCAAGGTCACAAAAGGGCTTATTAATTTGCACCACACATTTATAATAATATATAATATTTAATATTTATTGCATATTTAAGTATATGTATCATTTTCTTTTAATATATTTATACGGCAATATTAAACATGGTAAAAATTACCTCGCGTATATACGCTCCATAAAATAAAATGATGTGTCATACCTAGTTTGAAGAGCACCTCCCGCCCTTCCTCAATTGCGTGCAATATCCCCGTCACCACTAATCCCAGCACCACTACTCCCAACACCACTACACTAGGAAAGACACACCACTGATGACAATACGATACATGTTTCGCCTCTACACGAGGCATCTTCAGGTGATGTAGACTCTGTGGTGGTTGCCCGTTACCAATTATATTTATACAGCTCAACCGGATGGAAATACTATATTAATACCCCACAATAATAATAATAATTTTCATTATTTGCATAACTATCACATAATACATATTTTTTTATGAGATTAGGGTGACAGACGAGCACACAGTCCACCTGATGGTAAGTGGTTGCTGTGACCCATAGACATCTACATTTATCCTCATTTGCGAATCAAAATGCAGATGCGTTGTCACCCGTGAGGGCTAAGTTGGAATGCCTCTTTTCCAGTAAAAACGGTCTCCAGTTCTCCACACTCACCATACGAAACACAGCAGTGTTAAACTGCTATTTTACTTAGGTATTTTGTGAGAGCGTTGTTCTTCCCCGGTCGAGCCGACCCATTCGTGCTACAACTATACTACTAATATACCTGCAGCATTGCTCTAGCACAATATAACTACTCTATGATATATACTTAATCTCTATCTCTATATATATAAAAACCAATTGCTGCCCGTTAGTCTCGCTAAAATTAAAAAACGACTGCAACGATTTTGATGATTTTTTGCGTATGTTTGAGTGGGTCGCTGGATGATCTAAACAATTCACAATTGGACCCGGTAGGTGGCGCTGTTGTCAAGAGACAACAGCGCCACCTAAAATCACCCGTGCAAAGCCGGTGCGAATCTCTATTCTACAATAAATGATGAGACATGTGTGTTTGAACTAGATAAACATATATCTGTATTTCATATCACAGTGCTCTTTGTGAGGAGTAAAGTTTTTTAGTGCCAAACGAAGACAAGACTGGACAAAAATTAACATTTAAAAGTAGAAGGTAGCCTTCGTAAACTATGACATCAGGACGTCAAACATCTCAGCCCCCTAGTGACCATGGGTGCTGTAAACGTCGGGAATTAAAAAAGCTAACATTAAACACGACAAAGTCTCTAGCATATGAGTGTAACGGCAATAAGAAATATTTCAATTGTAATCGAACAAGGATCGCGACTTTTGGTACTGCGGTCGTAAATCTGCCAAGCGTGACGATTGTTTATTGCCATTTTTTATAGGATAGGGTGGCAAACGAGCACACAGTCCACCTGATGATAAGTGGTTACTGTGACCGATAGACGTCTACATCTATCCTCGTTTGCGAATTAAAATGCAGATGCATTGTCAGCCGTGAGGACTAAAATTGAATTGACTTGGCAATCGCACTAAACTATCTAATTTAATACAATATGTATTACTTGAGAGACACATTGTGTTTTCATGCGATGGCCAAGTCAATTTATTTATTTAAAATATAAAAGATTTTTAGTATTGATGTGGTCACTATAAGATGTTGTTAGGTTAGCTAATTACGTAATAACTTAAGACAGAAGGACCCTTAAGTAGGGACTGAATAAATTAACCGACTTGGTATTACATGGATCTCACAACTTTTTACGGTAGAAGAACTGAGTTGCGAGACTTGTTTTTTTTTACAAGTTATGTTTTTGATGGCATTTTATTTTTCTAGTATTGATTCAGAATAACATATTCAATAAATAAGCATTCACTACGTAAAATTCAACATCATTTCTATGTAAAAAGAAACTTACTTGACTGTGCCTCTTATCATGCATACATAGTCATTGTGTTATAAGCTTTACGCAGACAAAGCGCTTCGCGCCAAGATGAGTTGAGGTATCGTTACTCGTAATAGGAAACACTGTATACTGTAATCTATCTCATTCTCTCGCAGGTTAAATCCTCTAGGTGTACATAAATGTTTGTCTCTTTTTCGTGTCATTAAGTTTCAAATCACAAACGCAGTTTATTGAAGTAAAAGAAGTATTCACTTCAAAAACTGCGTTTGTGGACCCACCTGCCAACAAAAGTTGTAACTATTACATACATCCTCCTATGAGGCAATTTATGAAGGCCGCCTATGTGTAGCAGTGGAGATTTGAAAGGCTGTAATGAATTGTTATTTGTTTTTTTTTTACTAATGTTAAACAGTGCCATTAATTATCGGTATGCTAGGGACAAACGCGTGCTGTGCGTCACTTATCGATAACCGCTTATTGATTCCTAGAAGGATGAAAAACAGTGTCCACTAGTGTGCTGTAGTTTATTAATAAATAAGTGCGGCGGTAATTTAATAATTATTAATTACGTTTAGATGGTATACATTGCCCGGATAAATAATACCATTTGGATAAATTGGCAACACGAATTTATCCGTCTGCCACCATATCATTGCAAATACAATCCGATAAAATTATATGGGCGCGAGTAAAGGGAGAAGTGGTGAATAAAAACATCACGTTTGAAATTTCTGACGTGGAGCAATTTTAGTTCACACGGCCATTGCAAGTGTAACGGTGGATAATTGGCGAAAATGTGTTCTATACGCCGAAGCACAAGCAACGAAGCAAGATGAAGATTTACAGAAAGCACATTTATGTGTACTACAGTGACTTTGACTCGGACGAAGATTAATTAGTTGTTTATTTATATTTTAATTTTTTTTCATTTTATTTAGTCTAAATATGTAATTTTGAACAATAATAAATGTGATTATTAAATAGTTTTCTTTTTATTTTGCATTCTTTACTTTTCATAAAAAAACACATCGACACGACAGTGGTACGGCACTATGCCTGTCTTATGGCACGTAAGTCCGACAGAGAGCGCAACAGGCGGTGTTCTGTTTCCCCATTTTATTGCACCGCAGCGAGTATTTAACATTAATAAGATTTTCTCCTGTATTGTGGAGGCAGTTTACAAACATAAATTGCACAAGGACAAACATCAATGAATGAATGTAGGAATGAATTATGTGTTTCAGGAAGGGTCCATGTGCCAGGGATCGATTGAGGACAACACTATATGGGCGGGATGTGCTCATGGGCTCTCGTTCTTCGTTCTCAATGCACTTATTTCACAATGTGCGAGAAGACGAAAGGTAAATAAAGTAGATATCGTCTAATTTAATACCGCGGGCACTTTATTTGTATTTTTGATGTATCTTAGTTGATTGTGTCACATTTTACATAATATTACGTGTAATAAAATCTGAATCTGATGCTATTAAGGTTGCTAAAGTCAGTTTTATCTTCAAATCTGGAAATAGGACTGACCCAAGTAACTACAGGCCGGTGTCTGTTTTGCCTGTTGTTTAAAAAATATTCCAACGAATACTGTATAGCCGCCTAAACTATTACTTAATAAAAAAGGAGTTTTATTTAACCAACAATATGGCTTTCGTTGGAAATCGAGCACTCTTACAGCTATAGTAGACTTAATCACAAATATTAAAACTCGTATCGATCAAAGAAATTTTGCATTGGGGATTTTCATTGACATAACAAAAGCATTTGACACAGTAAGCCATCATTAGCTGCCGCACAAACTAAACAACATAGGCGTTACAGGCAAGGCTCTCGAAATGTTTACATCATATCTACAAAATAGGCGACAAGCTATTCAAATAGACTATTTTATTAGTTCGAATAAAAACTTATCGTACGGCTGTCCTCAAGTCTCAATTATAAGTCCATTAGTTTTTTTTAATGTATATAAATATGTAATATAAAATATAAATAAAATAGGGCTGCAAGACACCTAATATTGTACGCGGATGACAAATGTCATTTCTATTTCGATAACTCTATTCACATCATTATAACTTCTGCTCAAAACAAACAATTGACTTACTTGGAGAATGGTTAAAATATAACCTACTAACAATTAATACCTCAAAAACATCATTTATGATTTTTTCCACAAAGAATAAACCTTTACCAGAGTTTGCACATCTTATTATTGATGACAAAATAATAAAACGTTCAAGTCAGGAAAAATATCCAGTTCTCTGGGTAGATGACAAACTTACTTAGAGACTGCATATTAATCATGTCAAATCAAAACTTACTAGATGCATTACGTAAAGTCGCAAACTGTATTCCGAAAAAGATACGTACAATTATATACAAATCTTTAGCTAAATCACACATCGAATATCTAAGACATGGGTATCAGCCGCTAAAACTAATCTAAATCCATTTCAAAAAACCCAAAATCAAAATTATCAAAGCATTATTTCCCTACCATTATCTAACTCCAATAAAAGTATTATACGAAAAAACTAACTAAATTTTACACAACTATACACTTTTGCACTTGCAACCTAATAAAAAATTAAACCTCTAATTTAGAATACTAAAACGTACAGTTACATAAAAAAGCAACAACAACTAACTTAAGAAGTAAAAATAAACTCCTAAACTAATGACTAACGAACTAATTATGACAAAAAAACACTATTGTTTGAGGGACACAGCTAGGAGCACAGCTGTTCAATACCAGATAACATTAAAACTGCAATAACATGAAATTGTTTAAATAAGTTTACTTAGGAAATACGTACGCACAGTGTAATATTTTTACATGGTACCTAATATGTATAAGTGAATAACCTAAGAAATAATCGTTTCCAACACTAGAAGAGGTAGATGTGATAATAATATAATATTTTAATAACTTTGTATCTTATTATAAGTTCTTATGAGAAATAAAATTCTTTAAACCGAAACCGAAATTATTAGCAACAATCTATAATGTTATATTACATAGTTTTTTTAAGATCAATTTTTTGTAATTATCGATATGGACAAACGTCTGAAATAAATCGATTTTATTTTATTTTTATTAATTTATTCATTTTTATAATAAATAGCTGCCAGAGAGGCCGATGAATTGTAAGGTTAGGGCGCTGTCGAAATTGAATTCGCCTCTGGCTCTAGTGTCATTATTCGGGAAATTATTTGCTCTAGTATCATTTTTGACTGCCTTGTTAGTCTAGTGGTCGTAAACATTACTGATCATGAGGTCTCGGACTCGACTGTGTCGGGTAAAAAAAAATCGGTTGAGTTGTACTGTCAAAAAATTCTCAGAATTGTTGGCGGTCTTCCATCCCCGTGCCTCTGATTTCACGTAAAGCCGCATAACCTGATCTGTCTTCGGTCATGTTGGATTGCTGTCCCATCCGACTATGAGAGTGAGGAAATAAAGTGGTTCTATCTTTGCGTGCGATTTAATTTTATTTGTGCGACTGTCCTGAGCAGTGTGAAAAAATTTGATAGAATTTGTCTGATGGATGTTCTCCGTTGAGACTTAGCTTTTGAATATTAAAGCTGATGGAAGCCGGTTAACTATTACATCGGAATCTCAACTACCTCACTTCCCCCTGACCACGGGACCAAAGCACCCGAAAGATCTGGAGTTAAAATTAAGTAAAACAAGTAAATAGCTTCGATTAATAATCCAAATGCAGCTGCGTTGTCACTCCTGAGGACTAAGACGGAATGCCTCCTATACATTAATAAGGATATTTTAAGCTGCTATTCTGTGAGAGCGTGGTCCTACCCCAGTCGAGCCATTCGTGTTACAACCATAATATAGCTGCAGCATGGCTCTCGTAATTATAGCTCTTAAAAATTATACTGCTGAAGATAGGCCTCCCGCAAACAGTACCACAAAGCATGGTCCTGAGCCACCTGTATCCATTGACTTCCTGCATGTCTCGCCAGGTCGTCATTCCATCTAGTAACGGCCACGACACACTTCGCCTACCGGTACGAGACTGCTACTTGAGAACCTTGCTTACCCATCGGTTGTCGGTTGTTCGAGCTATATAGCCGGCTCATTGCAACTTCAGCTTACTAATCCGTTGGGCAGCATGGCTCTACCACGTATAAAAAAGTATTCGTGTAAATAAATATGCCAAATCATTAAACCTCTTTTGTAGGTTCTATCGATCACCATCCTCCTGGTGGCAGCAGTTGCAGCGTTCGCCATCGACAATACGGGTGAACCTCTCTCTGGGCTCATCCTTTTCTACATCTTCCTCACAACTGCAATGGTTTTTGGCGTCGTTTCCTCTTATTTCGTGGATCTTTATCCCACTTCATACAGGTATTTATTAGTCTAACGAAGTAAGTCACAAATTCAGTCACGCTTGATACTTGCAACAAACATGTTAACTTGTATTCCAGCCCGGGTCAATACTCGGGCTGGACTACAAGTTAATATGTTCAATAACAAACAGTGAAGTTTCTAATGTTTAGAACATTTGAAAAATATTATTTTATTTAGCTTGTGCAATTTTTTTTTGTGTTAAAACGTTACCCCCACACTAGGATTTTCTCCTGTGTCGTGGAGGCAGTTTACAAACATAAATTGCACAAGGACAAACATCCAGACCCGGAACAATTATTTGTAGGCCATACAAATACTTGTTCCGTGCGGGATTCGAACCCGCGACCCCCAGCGCAGCAACTGATTGCTAAGCCACTGCGCCACGGAGCCGTCATTATTCACAAAAATTTGTAATTTATTTCTTAATCTGTTTTCATGTAAGCGAAACTAAGTTAAAAATATTTTATTAAGTTTAGCCTTAAGCAAAGCTCCTTTGAATAACATAATTTAAAATTTAAAGTTTTGTACAACCGACTTCAGTATAAGTTATTAAGAATAACTCATAAAATATTTAAATAAAACTTAATTTTACGGATTTTATCGCGTATAATGATAACTTTTTTTATATTCGCGACGTTTCGAGCACATTACAGCACCCATGGTCATGGGGGGACTGAGGTGTATGACGTTCCAATGTCATAGTTAACCACGGCTACCTCCAGATAAAAACAAAAATTTATAATATGAATAATATGAAAAAAATTAATAATTTTTAATCTGAATGTAGCCGTGGTTAACTATGACATTGGGACGTCATACACCTCAGTCCCCCCGTGACCATGGGTGCTGGAAAGTGCTCGAAACGTCTGGAATATAAAATAAGTTTAATATACGCGATAAAATCCGTAAAATCAGTTTTATATAAATGTGTAGTGTTCGCGTAAATATAAGAAATCATCATTAAATATTGGTCAGACCTTGATCAAATTTATATGGTACGACACGAGAAGCACCAGCTTTTAAATAAAAAAGAATCATTAAAATCGGTTTACCGAGAAAAAATTTATGAGGTAACACAAATAAAAACGTACAGTCGAATTGTGTACCTCCTCCATTTTGAAATCGGTAGAATATATAGAACCGCTTCGAAAAGGGAGACATCTACAGAGGAGGCTGAAGAGCGTGAGTAGATTTTACCTGTTTCCTTCTCCCTACTTCTGGCGCCAAGTAGCAATGCGTGTACTGCCGCTGTGTTCCGGACTAAAATATATAGAGATCAAGTATTATTACAGGCTATGAAGGATTCCATCTTAGTCCTCAGATGTGAGAAAGTATCTGTAAATTTCTTTTATTGGAGTTGATTGCAGGCACAGGCGCAGAGTAGCCAGTTTCTGTATATACTATAGGATGGATTTCGGTGAGTGTGCGCAGGAATTACACGCTTTAATTCCTCCCTCTCGTTTCCACCATCGGACAACCAGGCGGTCGGCTGATCTTCACCTCTTTGTTGTCGATATTCCACGCATTAGAACCAAACGGTTTGCTTCGTGTTCTGTAATGCGTAGAGCAAAGGAGTGGAATAATTTGCCGGCGTCTATCTTTCCGTCCGAATACAATCTGGGCGTCTTCAAGGCAAGAGTGAATAGGCTTTTGTTATGCTAAGACAGCGCGATTGACCATCTAGGGCTGCATCACCACTTACCACCAGGTGGGATTGTGGCCAAGCACTGGCTTATAGTAAGAAAAAAAAGGTATCTGACTCAGACGCTATGTCGCAAATTCAACATTAATTTAAGCATTTCACAGACAATAGAAGCACCCAATTACACTCATGTCTGTGGATGGTTGCTGACTACTCGAGTTTTGTCAACCTATAAACTATCATCTATGTATAACCTTAAATAACCCTAACTATCATGAAGTGAACATTGGCAGAATTGTGATAAAAATAAAACAATAAGTCGAGTCCGTTTTGATCTTTTTATAGAAAAGCGTGGTTGCTGTAGCACATAGACATCTACATCTATTCTCGATTTAGAATCAAAATGCATATTCACTGTCACCCTTGAGGACTAAGATGAAAAGCTTTGATTCCTGTGAAAATAGTCTCCGGTTATACACCATAGAAAACATAGCAGTATTAATGTGCTGTTATAGGCTGTTCTTATGTGGGAATGTGGTCCTTCCCCGGCCGAGCTGACCCACTGGTGCTACAACCATGATATTATAGCTGCAGCGTGATCTTACCAAGTCAATAAATACATATATACACAATTAAAAGTTGTCATCCCTGAAGACAAAAATGGAATGCCTTGTTACCAGTAAAAAGAATCGCCGGTTCTCGACACTCACACAGTTTAGAAAACACTGCAGCATTATGCTGCTATTTTATGAGCCATTTGCTTTTTTTTAATGGATAAGGCAAACGGGCATGCGGCTCACCTGATGGTAAGTGACTACCGCCGCCCATGAACAACTGCAAAACCAGGAAGGGAATTGCAAATGCGTTGCCGGCCTTTAAACTTTTAACTTTTCAACCGATTTCAGGAAAAAAGGAGGTTTTCAATTCGAGTGAAGCGTGTATATGTGTTTACCTTAGAAATTTTTTCCAGGTAAACCTATTTTGATGATTCTTTTATATTTGAAAGCTGGTGCTTTTCTTATAGTCCCATATAAAATTGATCAAGATCTGATCAGTAGTTTTTAAATTGTCCTTAATAATGGGTATTTAACTGACTTCAACACACAGTGTTGATGTTCTCATTTTATTCATATTAAAGTCAGTTGTACAATATTAATAATAATAAATATTAAAATAAATTATTAATTGGTAATTTTACCCCTTTACACCACTCTACCTATTTATATAGGTAGAGCCGACCAATTTGTGATACAGGCACTACACACTACAGCCTGACATTAATCATGATGAGATTACTGTTTCTAAATATAACAGAGGCATGGTGGCGTGCCTGGGCATGATGGTGGCGCGGCTGAGCTCGTTCGCCGGCACCAACCTCGTGAGCAGTAACATGAGCGAGCACTGCTCAGTCACACTTTATGGAGCCGCCGGCCTCGTCATCAGTAAGTATACTTTTATCAAACCTCTTATACCTAGTCAGGTCATAAATTCTGTCACATGTTTAATATAAAATAATTGAAACAAGTTTATTCATTATGTAACCATTTATATACCAAAATGAACTTAACAAAACATAGATTCTTATGACACTAAAGTTTATTCAAAATGACCTCCGTGATTTTGAACACAGATCTTCAATCTGCGCGGCCAGTTGTCTATCGCAGCACGAACGAGGTCCATGTCAATATCGGCGGCTGCCTTAATCAAGGATGTATTGAGTGACTCCAAATTGGGATGAGGCTTTGAGCACGCCTTTTCTTCCAAGTGTTGCCATATCTTGTAATCTAACTGATTCAAATCTGGACTGGAGCCAGAATCTGGCCAGCCAGTCTTGTGTGCTCTTCGCTCTATGAGCTGGCGCCGAATCTTGTTGGAATACCCAGTGCTTGTTATTGAACATGGTATGAGAAACAGGTTCCACAAGGTTCGTCAGGACTGTATTTTGATACACAACTACATTCGTTTTTACACCTTTCTCACAAAAATGTACCTCTGTTAAGCCCCAATAAGAAAGTCCCAACCATACCATGAGGGAGGATGGAAAATGACCTCGTTGGACACGCGGAATAATGTTGCTCGCTTCTTCACTACTGTGTGCGCACACCTTATCATTTTGTTTGTTGTAGCTCTCTTCTACGGTAAAATTTTTTTCATCCGAAAAAAGTATTTCCCGATATTTTTTCCCGCGTACCGCTTCAACAAAGCGTGGCATCTCTTCAGTCTCAGGTCCATTAGACGAGCATTCAAACGATTTCCTGTTTTTCTTCGATATGCCCGAAGCCCTACGTCTTCATTTAACACCCTTTTCACCGTGGTTCTGCTTAACCACATCTGAAGGGCCAAGTTTCTGCTTACGTTTGGGATTTCTTTGAATTCGCGCCATCACAGCTTTTATCACTGCTGGAGTCCTAACAGACCGACGGCGACCACTTCTTGACCTGTCATCTACACTAGAGTCTTCATTGTATCGTTTGATGGTACGATAAACGAATCTTTTGGTTATATTCAAATTTTTCAGTATGTCAAAAATTTGAATTGGCGCGTAACCGCAACGATGCAACGCAATAACTGCAACACGGTCTTCTTTAAGCGTCCACTCCATATTTAAAAATGAGTAAAATTCTAAAAAGTATACAGTTTTATTTTCATGAACAATTCTAAATTCGAATTCAATAAACTTTTTGTGGCCAGAATTCTAAAAGAAAAGTTTTTACTGTGTGACAATACTTATGACCTGACTAGGTACATTCATATAAGAATATTATATGGAGCGTAAATGCCTGGTTGATCAAGGAATTTTCAGTAGCAGCCCAGAGTCAGGAAGTTGGTGGTGTTTCATCTCCATGCCTCTGAAAACACGTAAACCACGTACGCAAGTAGCCGTTAGTCTCTCTCCGGTCGAGTCAGATTAACGTCCTATTGGAATATGAGAGTAAGGGAATAGAGGCTGCACTAGTGCTTACGCATACGCTAAATCATTATAATCCTACCCTCCGTTGAGCTTGGTTGTCGTGGCCGAAATTCGGTCTTAGAAAATTATTATTATTAATACAAGAAACGTAAAAAATCATAATTTATAAGGTTCGTTAAAAATTTTATTCTACTTATTATATGTGCTTGATCACATTTGGCGTTTATTGGTGATGCAACATAAGATTGTAAGTCGCGCTTAAACAAAAGCCTCTCAAAAATTCTTACCTTAAATATTGTAATCAGGCAGTAAGACTAATACCGAAAACTCATAACGAATGACGAAAAAAAAAACCGTTTGCTTCGTAAAGCCCCGCCGAACGTAGTTATTTCATTTTTGCGAACTGACTTTAAAAAGGAGGAAAGGTTTACAATAACGTCGCAATCTTTTTTTTATTTATGTACACTGATTACTCAGAGACACTTGAACCGATTTGGAAAATTTTATTTCAAAGGGTATAACTTCCAAGGTGATGCCATTTAAATTTTATCGAAATCTGTCAAACGGTTTTAAAAAAAAAAACAACAATTAATTATATTTATACGAGGGTGGATTGAAAAGTACTCGGCCTAACACAGATCCATTCAATTCTAAAAATCAAATCTACCCACATTATTTAGTTCAGTTCAGACTAGTTCATTGTGTGAAGTTCGAAACGTGTGCGATAATTAGTTGTGATTTTATAAATTTATTAACAAAGTAATCGGACATAATTTCCGCGAATGGAGCAAATCGAGCAGCGTGCCGTCATTAAGTACCTCCATAAGAAAGGGCTATCATCAAAAGCCATCCATGATGACATGGTCAGTACATTAGGCGATTGTGCTCTGTCATATCCGTCAAAAAATGGATAGCAGAATTTAAGCGTGGTAGAGAGAGTGTGAAAGATGAACCCCGCTCTGGAAGGCCTTCGACGTCAACTACTGACGAAAATATTAAAAAAGTACTTGATTTAATAATGGGAGACCGCAGATTAAAAATTAGAGAGATAGCCGAGATTATAGGCATCTCTTATGAACGAACTCAAAACATCATTGTCAACGAGTTGGGTTTCCACAAGGTGTCTGCGAGGTGGGTTCCGCGACTGCTTTCAGTTGAACAAAAAAGGACGCGATTGACTATTTCACGCGACTGTTTGGAGTTATTTGAAGCCGATGCAAATGATTTTTTGAATCGTTTTGTTACTATGGACGAAATATGGGTTCATTACTGTACACCGGAAACAAAACAACAAAACAGTGGAGAAGACCTGATTCACCACCCCCTAAAAAGGCTAAGTCGATTTTGTCGGCAAATAAGGTGATGGCTTCAGTATTCTGGGACTCGAAAGGTGTGATTATGATTGATTATCTTGAAAGGGGTCAGAATATAAACTCTGATTACTACTGCACCTTACTACGTCGTTTACGAGAGGAAATAAAAGAAAAACGTCGAGGAATGCTCAGAAGAAAAGTCCTGTTTCATCAAGATAACGCCCGTGTTCACACGTCAGTACAGTCAATGGCTGAAATTCACAACTGTGGCTTTGAACTGTTACCGCATCCGCCGTATTCACCTGATCTGGCACCATCAGACTTCTTTCTGTTCCCTAACCTAAAAAAGCACTTGGGAGGTCAAAGATTTTCGACAAACGACGAGGTCAAAGCAGCTGTAGACGCATATTTTGACTCTAAGGAAGAATCATTTTTTTTCAACGGTCTAAATGCTTGGAAGGGGAGGTGGCAAAAGTGTATTGAACTTGATGGTGATTATGTAGAAAAATAAAAATATAACTGATTTAGTATTTGTTTATTTTCTTGGTTAGGCCGAGTACTTTTCAATCCACCCTCGTATCGTCGGGTTACAAATTTATTAATTTTACCTCTTGTAATAATATTAGCTGATACCGGCGCGTTGCATCCGCGGAAATAATAATTGTGGAAATATCGATTTAAATTTAGAAGAGTTAGATTGTCTAATGAGGAATGATAATACAATCATTGAAGTTGAATGATATTTAAAATTTTAAATACCTTTGAAATTAATCTGTCCGTACGATACACGCGCCGCCTACTGTAAGTTATTTGTACTATGTCTATAACCTTCAAGTTATAAGTTGACAAAGTTTTACCGCAATGTCATGAACGGCATGAAATACGAACAAACAAACATTAATTGTTTATATAATTGTTATATATTTTGACGGCTCCGTGGCACAGTGGCTTAGCAATCAGTTGTTGCGCTGGGGGCTGTGGGTTCGAATCCCGCACGGAACAAGTATTTGTATGGCCTACAAATAATTGTTCCGGCTCTGGATGTTTGTCCTTGTGCAATTTATGTTTGTAAACTGCCTCCATGACACAGGAAAAAATCCTAGTGTGGGGGTAACGTTTTTTTAAAATAAATTAAAAAAATTAAAAATTAAATATTAGATTTTTGTATAAAATTGAAATTATATATGAACTTGCAGTCTACCTGATCGTAAGCGCCTACTGTAGGCTCCAGACTCTTGCAACCAACTTCACACGTACATAATTAAAAATTAATAATCTTGTACAACCGACTTCAATATAGATTATTAAGAATAACTCAAACACTATTGGTTGAACCTTGATTAAATTTATAAGGGACTACGTGTGAAGAACCAGCCCTCAAATAAAAAAAAAGAATCATCGAAATTGGTTCACCTAGAAAAAAATTGTGAGATAACAAACATAAAATATAAACATACAATCGAATTGAGTACCTCCTTCTGTTTGAATTCGGTAGAAAACTATAGATAATTGTCACCACTGAGAATTAAAATGGTATGTCTTGCAGCTTGTAATTTTATGATAAAGTGGTTCTTTTTAGCGTAAAACGCGCAAATCTGCGCCTTCTGAGGGGTAAACTGGATTAAATTTAGTCGTCCCCAATTGGAGACGTCGTTTAATAAAGACTCGACTTCAGACACAAGTTTGTTCCGGTACCAGTCGTTATAATCTAAATTGAACAGAAGAATTTAATTTATAATTTATGATTCTTGTCCACAGGTGGCGCTGTGACCGCAGCGTTACTGCCTGCCGATACACTGTCAAAATTTCATTAAATAAATATAAATGTTTAATAAAACGTTTAACATTAAAGCTAATTTTCCTTTGTTCCGTTGATAGGAAATCAGATCGTTCAGATTTTAAATATTCACCTATGTTCAAAGTTTACGCCTGTAAAACCATTCCACGATAAATCACCTATACAGAATCTTTGTCTTTTATCTGTATCAGTACGTGTATCTATACATATATGAAGAATTTTTAAAACTAAGCGGAGGTAAACACCTATACTCACACATATTTGTAATCTATCTCTAAATACCTTAAGTACGACTAAAATAACCAAAATACAATAAAAGAAGCGTAACTACGTTTGACATCAATCCTATAAACCTATTTTAGCAGGTCTTGTCTTTTTACACACTTTTGTTCGCTGGTTGTGTGTAGGTATGAGTTTAATGGAATTTTTATAACAAGAAACGAACGGTATTTCCTCACGAATTCAAACGTTCAATGATTCACCCTATTCATAAGAGCGGAAATAGATACTGTGTCCATAATTATCTTGGAAAAAGTAGTAAATAATAGACTGGTCAGGTATCTTGAATCAAAAAATCTCTTATCACATGCGCAATTTGGTTTTAGAAATGCAAAGCTACAAGTGATGCAGTACATGAATTCTTAAGTTATACCGTTAAACACATGGAAAAAATTTATAGCAGTATTTCTTGATTTGGCTTGGGCATTTGACACGGTGTCTATTCCACTGTTAATTCACAAATTGTACAAGAGAGGTGTCATAGGATTACAATTGAAGTTTTTTGAAAGTTATATGACTAACCGATCGCAATGTGTCAAAATAGGACATTGGATAAGTGATGATCTTCCCGTCGCCCATGGCGTACCACAAGATAGTATTTTGGGTCCTACCCTGTTTTTGACCTATATAAACAGCATGTGCCAGACAAGATTGATAAATGGGACGCTTGTTTCTTATGCCGATGATACTGCCCTTTTATTCAGCGGTGATACATGGGAAGAAGTATACCTGAATGCCCAAAAAGGTTTCAATTTAATTGTTAACTGGCTAACATATAATAAACTAATGCTTAATGTCTCTAAAATAAAATATATATCATTTACATTTAAAAAAAATTAACACTCCTATTTCTCCTAATTTCCATATAAAAGCACATATCTGTCAAAATTATAATGATGTAATTAATTGTTCTTGCCCTTCGCTCCAAAAAGTAAATGAAATAAAGTACTTAGGTATAATTATTGATAGCAACCTGAATTTTTAGGCACACATTAATTTTCTAACTAATAGATTACATAAAATAATCTATATTTTTAAAAATATTCGACATGTGGCAGATGAAAAAATAATAAAATCAACCTACTTGTCACTTTGCCAATCATTAATTACCTACTGCATAACAGCTTGGGGTGGTACTTCCAAAACACATCTACTTAAATTAGAACGTGCCCAACGAGCACTTCTTAAGGCGAGTCACTTTCTTCCATTTCTCTATCCTACTAAAGAGCTATACCAAAACTGTAAAGTTCCCACAGTCCGCCAATTATTTATTTTACACACTATTATGAAACAACACTCTCTGACATATTACGATCCTTCTCGTCTAACAAATAAAAGAAACAGAAGTAAAATTTGTCCTATTGCACCATACAAAAGTAGCTGTACACATAACTTCTTCTACTTTTTAGGTTCTCATCTATACAACAAAATTAATTCCATTTTATCCATATATAAATTTCCCAAATTTAAATGCAAAAAGATAGTAACCCTATGGCTATTAAGTCAAGAACACACACACACACTCACACACACTCACAAACACACACACACACACACTCACACACACTCACACAAACACACACACACACACACATACACACACACACACACACACACACACGCACACACACACACACATTTGCTTTTCGTTTATTTATTGTTTATCATAATCATCCCTCACAAATTGATTGTAGTATATTAATATTATTTATATTAAGTTGTATGTTTAACTTCATTACTATATTTGTGAGAGAAAAGAATAAACTTTATTATTTATTTATTTATTAAAGTTGGCTCCTTACTAGGATGTTAAAGAGTAAGATTTATAATATTGCGTTGAACGATACCCAGCATCTGCGCAGCTTTCTTTACAATCAAATTTATCTGGGGAACATAGGTGAGTTTCATGTCCAAAATAACACCTAGAACTCTCACTTCACCTTCTATAAGCATAGTACCTTTAAGACTAGGATGTAGTGAAAACACGTAAACCACGTACGCACGTAGCCGTTAGTCTCTCTCCGGTCGAGTCAGATTAACGTCCCGTCGGAATATGAGAGTGAGGGAATAGAGGGTGCACTAGTGCTTGCGCATACGCTAAATCATTGTAATCCTACCCTCCGTTGAGCTTGGTTATCGTGGCCGAAATTCGGTCTTAGAAAATTATTATTATTAATACAAGAAACGTAAAAAATCATAATTTATAAGGGTCGTTAAAAATTTTATTCTACTTATTATATGTGCTTGATCACACTTGGCGTTTATTGGTGATGCAGCATAAGATTGTAAGTCGCGCTTAAACAAAAGCCTCTCAAAATTCTTACCTTAAATATTGTAATAAGGCAGTAAGACTAATACCGCAAACTCATTACGAATGACGAAAAAAAAACCGTTTGCTTGGTAAAGCCCCGCCGAACGTAGTTATTTCATTTTTGCGAACCGACTTTAAAAAAGAGGAAAGGTTTACAATACGTCGGAATCTTTTTTTTATTTATGTACACCGATTACTCAGAGACACTTGAACCGATTTGGAAAATTTTATTTCAAAGGGTATAACTTCCAAGGTGGTGCCATTTAAATTTTATCGAAATCTGTCAAACGGTTTTTAAAAAAACAACAATTAATTATATTTATATTGAAATCGGGTTACATAATTATTAATTTTACCTCTTGTAATAATATTAGCTGATACCGGCGCGTTGCATCCACAGAAATAATAATTGTGGAAATATCGATTTAAATTTAGAAGAGTTAGATTGTTTAATTAGAAATTATAATACAATCATTGAAGTTGAATGACATTTAAAATTTTAAATAACTTTGAAATTAATCTGTCGGTACGATACACGCGCCGCCTACTGTAAGTTGATTGTATTATGTGGTATTATGCCTATAACCTTCGCGCAACTTCGAGCAATAAGTTGACAAAGTTTTACCGCAATCCGATGAACGGCATGAAATACGAAGAAACAAACATTAATTTTTATGTATCAGATTATTATATAAAATTGAAATTATATACAAACTTAGAGTATACCTGATCGTAAGCGCCTACTGTAGGCTCCAGACTCCTGCAACCAACTCCACACATATGAGCATAATGAATTATAAAAAATTTTGTACAACCGACTTCAATATAAATTATTAAGAATAACTCAAACACTGTTGGTTGAACCTTGATTAAATTTATATGGGACTACGTGTGACGCACCAGCTTTCAAATAAAAAAACAAATCATCAAAATCGAATCACCCAGAAAAAAGTTGTGAAGTTTAAAACATAAAAAAATAAACATACAGTCGAATTGAAGTCGGTGGAAAACTACAGATAATTGTCACCACTAAGGACTAAAATGGTATGACTTGCAGCTTGTAATTTTATGAAAAGTGGTTCTTTTTAGCGTAAAACGCGCAAATCTGCGCCTTCTGAGGGGTAAACTGGATTAAATTTAGTCGTCCCTAATTGGAGACTTCGTTTAATAAAGACTCGACTTCAGACACAAGTTTGTTCCGGTACAGTCGTTATAATCTAAATTGAACAGAAGAATTTAATTTATAATTTATGATTCTTGTCCACAGGTGGCGCTGTGACCACAGCGCTACTGCCTGCCGATACACTGTCAAAATTTCATTAAATAAATATAAATGTTTAATAAAACGTTTAACATTAAAGCTAATTTTCCTTTGTTCCGGTGATAGGAAATCAGATCGTTCAGATTTTAAATATTCACCTACGTTCAAAGTTTACGCCTGTAAAACCATTCCACGATAAAGCACCTATACAGAATCTTTCTCCTTTATCTGTATCTATACGTGTATCTATACATATATGAAACAATTTTAAAACTAAGGGGAGGTAAACATTTTTCAAAGATTGATTTAAGTAGGGTATCATGAAAAATAACGGCAGTTGCCTATTGTCGATATTTTCCATGCAACCACCACTGAATGGTAGGTATCACGGTTCGTAGGAATACCTATGTTGAATTCCATTAAATATGAACGCAAAATATCTTGTGAAGTGAGTGCACAGCGTATCTATGTTTGGTTCCATATTGTACTCGTATATTAAAGTTGGCTCCTTCGTCATCATCATCATCATTACAGTCTTTCATAAGTCCACTGCTGAACATAGGCCTCCCTCAAGGAATGCCACAAAGCACGGTCCTGAGCCACCTGCAACCATCGACTTTCTGCATGTCTTACCAGGTCGTCACTCCATCTCGTGGGCGGTCGCCCTACACTTCGCCTACCGGTACGAGGCTGCCACTCAAGAACATTTCTTCCCCATCGGTTTTCGGTTCTTCGAGCTATATGGCCGGCCCACTGCCACTTCAGCTTACTAATCCGTTGGGCTATGTCGGTTACTCTGGTTCTACTGCGGATATACTCATTCCTAAGTTTATCACGCAGAGAAACTCCGAACATAGCCCCCTCCATAGCTCACTGAGCGACCTTGAGCTTCCTCATACGGCCAGCAGTGAAGGACCACGTCTCAGTTCCGTAAGTCATTACTGGCAACACGCACTGGTTGTACAATTTCGTTTTAAGGTTTTGAGGTATGTCTGACTAGAAGATGTATCGTAGCTTCCCGAACGCTGCCCAGCCGAGTTGAATCCGTCGATTGACCTCTTAGTCGAAGTTGGACTTACCTAGTCGGACTATTTGTCCTAGGTAAACATACTCGTCAACAACTTCGAGCTTAGTGCTCCCAACAACTAACAGCATAGGTGTGACA